CGCGAGATCAGTGGTGGCGCATGGAGCCAACGAGCTACGCCACTCGCCACTTTTTTCGTGTCCGGGTTGCTACATGCGCCTTGACTCTAGTCTACATGACTGACGATCCAGTACGCACTTGATCTTTTCGATGTTGGAATTTAGATACATATATCCTCGACCATCCAATTTCTGCGCAGATAAAGCTTTGCAACCAGGTAGCTTAAAAATAGCAAAGCAACCGCTCTTTTCCTAAAAGAAACTTATATTGTTGACTTACGATCATCCACCATACCGATTTACAAAGCAAAATCTCTTTTTTTGTGGTGACAACCAGGGAATTCCAAAGCGTGCAGTTTTGGCGTTGTAGAAAAAACTCCTGCCTAATTCTACACACTGGATGCTGCATGGAAATCTGTGCTGACCGGGCCATGTAACTCAATATAAACATTTCTTTTTAATAACTAAAGACTTCTTGGCTTCAAAAAAATATATTTCCCTGAGCTTTTCTAACATATTTTCTTTCTTTTTCCTTTCTTTTTTCAATGCCAATACACTTTTCATAATTTCAAGATTATTTTCAATATCCTAATGGTTGAATCATTACAAAGGCCTTTATTTACAGTTTACATACATTTTATACATATTTATCTATTAAATGCAGATCCCAATAATATTGTTATTCTGATCATCCCAATCATTAGAGGCAATTTTCAAGATGCCAGATTTTAGAAGATATGACCAAAAACTCCAAAATAATATAAGAAATGTGTATTTTTGGTTGCACTGTAAGTTTTACACCCCCAAGAAACTGCAAAGTATGTCATGCTAACTATAATAACACTGACGACATGGGTAGACCAAGAAAGGTCACCGTATGGTCATATTTTCAACTTCTGCAGGCCCAGAAGCATCTGCCTGCTTTGTAGTTAGTAAATAGCTGTAAAAAGCAAACTGTTTTCATTTTTTTGCCTGAATTCCCGGGAAAGCCTTCAATTTTGGAGTTTTTTATTTTTTAGGATGCCTTGCAAAATTTAACTTAAAGGCGAGTGTGCAAAAATAGGAGCGCGTAGCTTTAGGGGGTCTGACGATACGTGTGCAAACGAAACTGGAAATTACACGAAAACTAGACATCTGAGAAAGGCAGGACTTCTTTTCTATCGCTATAAAGAGGGTGAGTGTGCTTAAGCGTAAATAAACTACAAATATAGTCTAAATGTAAAAATAAAAAATTGACTAAGTTCCACATTTTTGGGTACATGTTCCGGAGTAACTATAGAATGCAGGGCCATGCCATAGCAAGGTTTTTATGTACTTGGAGCCTTGGATCGAGACCTGCGATTAAAGGATAGAAAGTAATGCCGTCAGAGAGAACAATGTCAGGAATTGATTATCTAGGTCTTAGTATGGAAACAGATGGGGTCAGTGGGCATAAAGTGCAATAATATGCAGACGTGCACAAAGTGCAAAGTACAGCGAATGCACTTGTCTTCTCAAGGAAGGGAGGGCGCGCTTGTATTTTGTGACGGGGCATGGAGCCACGGAGTTGTGGAGTCGTGGAGCCTTGCAGCCGTGGAGTCGCGCGCCAGTAGAGGGTGCAATTGTCAGGGGTAGAATATCCATATGAATGATCCTTGGACTACATTTTTTGTTGAGAACGAAGCATCCATATCCATTTTAATTTCCTCACAAAGGAGGGGAGGGCGCGCTTGTGACGGGGCACTGGAGCCGTGGAGAAGCGGAGCCGTGGAGCCTTGCAGTCACGCGCTGGTAAGAGGGTGCAAATCTCGGCAGTAGATCAACCGCGGCTCCATGGCTCCATGCAAAATGATCCATTTTTTTAAAGCATTTCCTCGCAAAGGACGGGAGGACGTGCTTGTGACGGGGCACTTGAGCCGTGGAGGCACGGAGCCGCGGAGCCTTGGAGTCACAGAGTCGCGTGCCGGTAGAGGGCACAATTCTCGGAGGTAGGTCGACTGCGGCTCCACACAGCCATACGGAGGCGCAGATATACATGTATAGAGTGGAGTGGCCCTGTACTCTTGTGCCCATGTTCAAAGTGTGGCCCTTATTTACGGCGGTAGTCCAGAAAATTGGCATGGGGCTAGCTCAATATCGTTTACAAAAAGAAAGGAATGTCGGTCACTTCGGCACCTAGCCAACTCGGCACCTGCCAACTCGGCACCTTGCCAACTCGGCACCTTGTCAACTCGGCACCTAGCCAACTCGGCACCCGAATTATGCCTCTTTCTCCTGACTTCCAACTCGGCACCTGACTTACCCAAACCACGGTCCGTCCCCAAAGAATCAGTTAATTGTCCCACTTTTCTTTGGAAAAGTCCCTGAAGTCGTCATAGGTATTACTTTCTGGTCTAAGTAAGTGCTGGGATTTTTTTTGGGGGGGGGGGGGCACAAGGTCGAAGGAAATCAGCAGGGTGGGTCCTTTCCTCATGAGTGCCAAAAAATTAACCGTGCTTTGAGCGGCGTAGTGGTGCCATCAGCCAAATTGTGGGCCGAATCGCGCCGCCAGGTGCGGCTTCACTGTGCGCACGTGATACATAACATACGCCGGCACAAAAGATTTCAACGTCCAATCATGTCCAACGGACGGTCACGTTGATCGGCGGAGAGACCTGTGCATCTCCATGGTCAGTACAAGCCCAGTCTGCCCTAGCTGGAGTTACCCAGCCCTAAATTTTATCATTGGGTTGTCATTTAGGGCTGGAGGAAGTTTTTCACTCGAACCAGCAGCGTTGGCAGGTCCCAAAAAAAACAGTTGTCGGGTGTTACGCTTCCGCGTGACGTCATGCGCCAACAGCCAGCGCAGCCGGCAAGAACGACTAGTACCAGCGCGCTGTGCATGTTTATCGACCGCCATTCATTGTACACGCAGTTTGTTTGTGCACAAATCCAATTGCAGTCCTCACCATGCCTGCACGGTTGTCGGTTATTCCTCCTTTTTCCACTGCAATTGTAGGCTGAATCTTTATTGTGGATCGTTTTTTACTTCGAGCACCTGTGTAATGCAAATGGTTATTCCAGGCAAGGTTTGGGTGAGTTGCAGTTGCAATTAGTGTGCAACAGGGACAAAATTGAACATTTTCGCAATTTTGTCGCAATTTTTTTTGGGACCTGCCAACGCTGCTGGTTCAAGTGAAAAACTTCCTCCAGCCCTAAATGACAACCCAATGATAAAATTTAGGGCTGGGTAACTCCAGCTAAGTCTGCCCTAGCCCCACTAGTGTGGCCGCGGTATGCTGCGCTGAACCTCTGGCCACACACTGTGGTACCGCGCACTACTGAGGGCGTTTTCATAAAAATTACGGTCCGTTTCTTACATATGGTTGTATTCTATGATGTCCCATCTATCACTTCTGGGATGCTTAGGTGTAATGATGTTCAATTTTCCGAGATATTCTTGAATCTTTCTGGAGCCCATATGCACTCGTGAAACGTCTGGTGATGGCAGCCATTTTTAATGTGACAAGAGATGACCTCAAGCTGTGACGTCGCGTTTATGCAAATTGCTTGTCGAGCGAGGGCGCGAGTTGCAAATGCTGTTTCCTGTACCATCATGACCATGCATTTATCGTCTGGGGGCCACGTGCACTGATCTCTATTCAGGATCCACGGCACAGGGAATAAATGTGCATTTCAAGTCTTTTTTTGGTTATTGGGAGTTGCGCACGCCACGAAAATTCTGGATTCGACTGGTACCCTGTATCTATGCATACAAATATCCTATGATATTACGTGCACCAGTATAACCCCGAAGAACTCAGCACACAAATAAAGTTGACAAAAAATGTACACCACTGCGCAATTTTGTGCATGCGTGTTGAAGCGAAATTGACCTTTCGGAGAAGCTAGCACGCCGGGTACAACTATAGAATGCAGGGCCACTTCACTCTACATCCGCGCCTCCGTACGGCTGCGTGGAGGCGTGGAGCTGCAGTCGACCTACCTCCGAGAATTGTACCGTGCTGCGTGGAGGCGTGGAGGCGTGGAGGCGTGGAGCCGCAGTCGACCTACCTCCGAGAATTGCGCCCTCTATCGGCGGCGCGCGTCTCTGCGACTCCGCGACGTGCTGCGTGGAGGCGACTAGTCTCTGCGCCTCCGCGACTCCAGTGCCCCGCGTCTCCGCAACTCCGCGTCTCCCTGACTCCGTGACTCCGCGCCTCCGCGACTCCCTGACTCCGCGCCTCCGCGTCTCCGCGACTCCAGTGCCCCGTCGCCCTCCTACCTTCCTTTGCGAGGAAATTAACAATGGATATGGATGCTTCGTTCTCTAAAAAATACCGCCGAGAATTGCGCCCTCTATCGGCGGCGCGCGTCTCTGCGACTCTGCGACTCCGCGTCTCCCTGACTCTGCGACTCCGCGTCTCCAGTGCCCCGTCGCCCTCCTACCTTCCTTTGCGAGGAAATTAACAATGGATATGGATCCTTCCTTTGTAAAAAATACCGTCGAGAATTGCGCCCTCTATCGGCGGCATGCGTCTCTGCGACTCCGCGTCTCCAGTGCCCCGCGACTAGTCTCTGCGACTTCGCGACTCCGCGCCTCCGCAGCTCCGTGCCCCGACGTACAAGCGCCCTCCCTTCCGATTCTGATCATTGATGAGAAGACAAGTGCATTCGCTGTAGGCCTACTTAGCACTTTTTGCACGTTTGCATATTCTTATATTGTAGCCTATTAGTATTACTCCTATCCTCCATCCACGCCTCCACGCAAAATAAAAAAACCTTGCTCCGGCGTGGCCCTGCATTCTATAGTTGCTCCGCACGCCGGCGAAGTGAGACCGTGACACCGGCAAACTAACGTTTACTAAAGGTTTGCCGTCTCCGGCAAAATATCCACTGCCGGCCTCTACCCACTCGCCCAGTTTAATTTGCGTTGGCAACGCCCGCCTGCCCAAATAGTAAGCTAAAATTATGGAAATTAAAACCTCTGTGAATTAATTCAAACTAAGCAGACACACGATACATAAGGCAAATTCAAAGTTTGTAATGAGGAAAATTCTTACCGTAGTCGATGCCATGTTGTTACAAACGCCAAGGCAAACAAGATCGTGGGAACGGTAAGATAAGACAGTCAGCTGAAAACAGTGAAACAGGATGTGTACTTGCTCTGAGCTGAGGTCATGATGGGGAAGGGCGCCCCTAGCGGTAGGTAGGTAAAAAGCAGATTTTGCTCCATGCACGTACATTGTACTCGACATGATAAAGCCGCTTAACTATTTTTTATTTGGTTTTAGTAAAATCATGCAGATATGTAACATTTTAAAAAGTAGTCTATTCTCTGATTAAAAATAGCACTACTCATGTGCTTCATGGGGAAATGCCTAAAAGTGCCCGAAATGTTTGGCAGTTTACAGTATTATGCTAATGAGCTCACTGTACAGGAACATATGCATGGATTCAAGGGTGCACATGAACAATTTCCCCCAATTCTTTCTAAACTTTATGGCTTATTTTCAACAGGATTTTTAAAAAGTAAATAATACTTTTGTAATTAATTATTAAATTAATCAATTAATTAATTAATTAAACTATTAATGATTTTATTTTTATGTTTTAAGAATGTATATATTCTTTTTAAGTGTAGAGCGCTTTTCATGTAATGACCAGAGACCGAATATTTTTTTTTTTGGCCTTACCGGTGTCACATGAAAATCCGACTCCTATGAAAATCGGACCCCTATTTCCCTTTTATTGGTTGATCCCTCGCACGTGACAGGTCACTCTCCCGAAACGATCCTAAAAATAGCTTAGTATCGTACCCACGCGTGCGCAGTACTACCAATGAGTGGCACACTCTCGCAAAAAGTGTTTCGGCCACCTTTTACAAAACCTCATTGGCCCGGGGTTTTGTGCGTAACTTGAAACCTTATCAGTCAGCCGATCACGCTCAATTGACTTCGGTAAAACCACAAGTCCCATCATAAAAACTAAGTTAAGGCCCCCCAAAAAAGTCTCCGGTTTCTGGTATGGAGCTTGCCCAAAAAGTGGTGCGGCGACGCGGCTTTTTTTTTTTTTACCTGATTTTTTTGCTTCAAATGTGTGCTGATGACTGCAAATGGTGCCCGACTAAACTTAGTGCAAATATATGGGAGTCCAGAGAGGCCACATAAAGCTTATTCTCGACCATAACCCAATCTAAAAACACGTTAAAATTCTGCAGCAGCAGGATTCCAGTCAAACCAGTGAGTTTGGCGGTTTTGAGACATCATCTTTCATTGAAAAAAAACCTTTTTCATTTTGCCGACGCGCATGGCTACGGCGACGCGCGCGCATACCAGAAACCGGAGACTTTTTTTTTTGGCCTAACCGGACCATTTTTTTCCAAGAGTGTGTTTCTAATGGCTGATGGGCTTTTAAAAAGAGCTTTTGCAAATGGGAAAGACACTTTGGAAACATCCAATCAGTTTGAATATGCTTCATGAATTTCTGAATAAACGAGCACACTTTTGAAAAACAGTATTTAATTACTATTATTTTTCGGTGTGGTGGGGGGGGGGGGGGGCTTTTTTATGACCTGCTCACATTAAGGAGCACCCCGATAAAAACAAGCATAATATCCCAAGGGGATAGCTAAGTGCTTGTTTCAACAGACCATCCCACAATAAAAAAAGAAAGAAAACAAAAGAAATAAGAAGAGGAACAATAGTTATTGGACTATGCCTCACTCACTAGAAAGTGAAGAGATATATGTCTATTAGCATCACACTGCAGTCACATTTGCCCTAAACTGATTCTTTATTCAATGTACTTATTTACTCTACATTTGAAGGACTGCATGCCCTGGTAATGTATGTCTGAAAGAACTGATGGCGGTAGACTGTTCCAGATCTTCACTGCTGCAGGAAGGTAATCTCTATCAAAACTTCGCAGAGTTCTTGCTGCAGTCATACCCTGGGGGACTGGGGACTGAAGGGCATATTTGTTGAGTAGCATGGATTGCCTGGTTTGTCGAGCAGCAGGTGGCCTTACAGGTGGGACCATGGATTTCAGCAAGGTTGGGCACTTGCTGCACTGCATCCTATATAAACAAGAGACTGCTACAATATTTCTTCGATGGGATAAACTGCTAAGATTATGCCTCAATTGCTCTTGCTGGCTTAATCCTATTAGGTGGCATGCTCTCCTTTGGATTTTATCAAGAGCCGAGAGGTACACTGTGCTAGCTCCCATCCAGGCTAGAGGTGCGTACTCCATCTTGCTTCTGATATAAGTCTTGTGAATGGTAACAAGACCTGCCTTGCTGAAGACTGGACCCAGTCTCCGCAACGTCTTCCATTCTAGTTTGCGAGAGAAAGTAACCCCAAGAAGTTTCATCTCCGGCTCATCACTGACAACTTGGCCTTGGAACATTATAGGCGGATGGTGTCATCAGCATAGGCAAGAAGTTCTGAATGGCGGATCACATCACGTAGATCTTCGATGTAGATCAGGAACAGAGTAGGGCCAAGAATACTGCCTTGGGGAACACCAGCATTGATCTCATAGCAGGAGTGACTTCTGTCCAGCAACCACTACCTCAAGATGTCTGTTTGATAAATAACTCTTCATCCAGGTAAGCAGCTGGCCAGTGATTCTAAATGGATCTAGTTCAGTTTGAAACAGACCTTGATGCCATACTCTGTCAAAGGCGCCTGATGTCCAGGGCGATCGACCACTCGAGCTTCACCTCTCTCATTTAAGATGGTGCACCACAGATGAGACATATAGGTGAGGAGATCAGAGACAGAGTGGAGCCTTCTGAATGCAAATTGGTTGTCCGATATGAGGTTGTTTTGAAAAAGATGTTTCTGTAGTTGATCATTTATGATGCTCTCCATTACTTTGCTGATGGTAGATAGTAGAGAGATCGGCCGGTAGTTTGACGGGCAAGATCTACTATTCTTCTTGTGCACAGGAACAACTGTTGCAACTTTCCACTGGGAGGAGAAATAGCCTCTGCTGAAGCTGAATCGGAAAAGTTTGGCGAGTGGAGCTGCAAGTTCTAATTAAAGCGCAGTACCTCAAAAACCTTGGCAGAGATACCGTCAGGTCCTAATGCTTTGTTCTGATCCAGCTTTTTCAACTTTCTTTTTATGTCTCGTGGCCTGAAAGTGACATGGCTGAGGCGTTCAGCAGCACGATCCTGGATAACGGGTGGTGGATCATCTGCAGAGTTGAGATTACATTTGTTTGAAAAGGTTTGAGCAAATATCTCTGCTTTCTCTTGAGCAGTTGAGAAAGCGATGCCATTTTGTTGCAGAGAGGGAATCTGTATGGCCTCCAGTGCCAGAGAGTTGCCGAACTGTCCACCACCAATCTCTGTCTTTTCCATTTTCTACCAGTCTATCCCTCATCAACTTAAAGTGAGTAGCCTTGGCTCGCCTAGGCAGACGATATATCAGAATGGCGCAATAAGACCGACACCAGACGCAATAATTTTGATTAGGGTTTCAAAAATTTCTACGCGAGTCATTTGCATAAAAAGTGACCCCACAATTTTTGTAAAAATCGAGACCGTCTAGTTTAAAAATCATTGGAATCGTGCGAATATAGCCGAGGATCATCTCCTTAGCTTTTGGGCCATTATTTTAGCGCAGATTTGATAAAATTAGGGTCCAAAAATGGGTCCTATTTGCACGAGAAAATGTAGAGATGCCATTGGTAAATTTGGCAGTATAATGCTCAGCATTACCGGCACACTCTCGCAAAAAGTGGTTCGGCCACCTTTCTATACAAAACCTCATTGGCCGGGGGTTTTGTGCGTAAACCTTATCAGTCAGCCGATCACGCTCAATTGACTTCGGCAAAACCGCAAGTCCCATCATAAAGAATATGTTAACCGGACCATTTTTTCCCCAAGAGTGTGTTAAGGTGCTACGCTTGAACACCATCGGAAAATTAAAGCGGCAACGCGAATACGTCTCGTCACCGGATCAGTTGAAGAAAAAAAATGTTTGAAGATGGCATTGGGAAACAAAGTTGTTTTCCACGTGGCTTGTTTCACTACTAAAACGCGGATACAACAGAGAATTTAGCCCTTCTTCCTGAAAAAAAAGAAAAGGCGAGACTCTCCATCGTGAACTCTAAGCGAAGTAAAACCGATAAAAAATTGAAGATCCCACTTTCATATTTGAACAACATGAGAAAAGTTGTAGACTTTGGAAGCAATCCTCGCTAGATTCCTTATTGGTTACATTGTCGCCCCCACCCCCCAAAAATAATAACTAAATAAGTATGCCATTATTCTCACTGACACAGGATTACTTTTGTTCCCCTTTTATTCATTTATACTTTCAATCATTTATTCCTTTATTTTTCAATTCATTTCTCGGTGAATTCGTCTTTTTAAAGTTTTCTATCTTCATCGCGTTTACCTACCTACCGCACGGGGCGCCCTTCCCCACTGCCCAATTTGATGACGTCATTGTGTTACACGGATCACCGTACAAAAAGATACCCGTGTCCAAGGCCAAGGCCTCACTCGCGAAAGTGTACATGTTGGCCCCAAAGGATCAGTGCTGGTACTTTGCTCGTCTATCTTCTTGGCAATGTACGTACAAGTTAAGTACACGTACACCAGTGATATCTGAATTTTGCGCGCCGTATTTGGAAAACGAATTTTGAAAACGGACGGCAGAATTTTGGGTAAATGCCTTGTTTTATATTTTTGTAATTGTTCTTGACATCTGCGTTATCTTTTCTGGAAAGAATGTTGCAACCTGACGCCATTTTTTTCTTCACATATCATTTCAATAAGGGTCAGTCATTGCAAAAATGTTGATCTGGGATTGAGAAACATTTCCAATTTCATGAATTTGGAAAAAAATGTTGCAACCTGACGTGCTGACGCCACTTTTTTCTTCATATATCATCTCATTGAAGGTCATTCATTGCAAAAATATGATAAGACATCATGTATTTGGGACTGAGAAACATTTCCAATGTTGGAAATATTTAGAAATTGTTCTTGATTCTCCATAGACTTTGTACACAATGAAGTGGCGTCGGGTTGCAACATTTTTTCCATTGGCATGTTTGATTTTGTGTGAAGATGGCATACTCCTAGAACTAGTATGAGGCTCCACGTAGTGGAGCCTCATAGGTTCAGAACCCCGCAAAATTGTTGTCGGCACAAAACACTAATTAAGTACAAAAACGTCCATCCCAACCAAGCTGTTTCCCACAGAACCGCTGCACAGTTTGCCCCTAAACTCCGTACAATACCTCATGACTAGACCCGTGAACGTGGCTTGTTGTAAACTACGCCACGTTCTTATGTCATTTCGAACCTGGCGAACGTGTCCCTCTGACTCCCTCCGTTACACACACTGGACGTTATTTTGCCCATGTAATAAGTACTCACATATGAAGCTGTCTTGAATTCTATTTGTACGTCAAAACTTGCATTTGACAAAAATTGAGGAAAATTCTGGCCCCGGTTCATGAAGTCCGTTCGCTACTGCTAGCTGCCATTTTCTCCCAACTGACGCATGCGCATTGCGTTTTATTTTCGTATGATTCGACGGCTGTTTACTGTCGCAGCTAAAACAGACATCGTTTTAGACAAGTTTCAAGTCCTTTCCTCTCTCACCGCACCGCACGCGGTCGCACGTGCGCCCGCGTGTGTGTGCACACACGTACTGTACACGAGATGAGCCGAGCAGCCAATCGTCTGCGGGGTTTTTTTTTATGGGGTTGCGACATGAAACAGCCGTCAATCTGTCCAAGCGACTCAGACGCGTCCGGGGTTATTTGTCAGGGTCAGGTTAAAATCTAATTTCTACACGTTCGTATGGGTCTTTACTGATGGGCAAATTTCGTCGATATTACACAGCCAAAACCATCGGACGGGCAAATTTAGATTTCTAGGTGAGTACTCAACACCCATACGGAATTATGTATGTCGGATCGATTTCGCCAGGTTCGAAATGAAACAAGAACGTGGCGTTGTATACAACGCCACGTTCACGGGTCTACCTCATGACATACTCACGTTATGTGCACCCAACAAACATCGGTGGATTCTGTCGGTTTTTCGGCAAAATGATGAAAAATATGCCTTTTCCGCACTGAGCCAACCTGACACTTGAAATTTGCACGCGCGCAGAATGATCGCAGTCATTTTCGGGTTCAATAGCTCGGAGCGCGCCGCGGGGGGTACGTACTCGCACTTCTACGCATGCGCATACTATCGTTCCGCTCCTACACCATACCCCCCGCGGCGCGCTCCGAGCGATCGGACCGAAAATGACTGCGATCATTTTGCGCGCGTGCAAATTTCAAGTGTCAGGTTGGCTCAGTGCGGAAAGGGCATATTTTCCATCATTTTTGCAAAAAACCGACAGAATCCACCGATGTTTGTTGGGTGCACATAGCGTGAGTATGTCATGAGGTATTGTACGGAGTTTAGGGGCAAACTGTGCAGCGGTTCTGTGGGAAACGGCTTGGTTGGGATGGACGTTTTTGTACTTAATTAGTGTTTTGTGCTGACAACAATTTTGCGGGGTTCTGAACCTATGAGGCTCCACTACGTGGAGCCTCATAGTTCTAGGAGTAAAGATGGCACTGACAAAGCTTTGATTTATGAGGGAAATTATGGGGTAAAAAGAATGACAACCAGAAAACAGGCTCAAAAACCACGATGGCAACTTTGAAAGCTCAATGCTGATTGGCTGATAACAAAAATATTTTTCTAGTTTTGTTTATCAGCCAATCAGCATCAGGCTTTCATTGTGTCAGGCTTTCGCGTGTGTTCTCGCGTCTTAACTGCAAGAAAAGGTAGGAAAGTCACATTTTCTGTGAAAGTGCGTTTTAAAATTACAACAAACATGACTTAATCTGAAGAAAAAAGACTGCAAAAGTCACTTTGGTACTGAACTAGCTCTACTGAGTGGAGCGTTGAATTACGGGTACCCCTCCATACTAGCGCTCCACCGATTCACCATACTTTGGTAGCACCATCACAGTAGCATAGTCAAAAACCCACGCGAGGACAAAAAGACCCCAAAAAACCGGTAAAGAGAATACAAATGAGAGAGACAGTTATCCTGGATTGATCTATACATTCTTGACATTCCATGAGACCCCTTATATTGTTCCCAAACAGCGAACATTTTGGAAAAAAACAGGAAAATAGTCTGAAAACTTACAGTTCAATGTGTTTGCATGGAGGTTCAGTTCTTGAATTAGCTTGTCGCTGAGGGCGTCTGACGTGACGTCACCGTCGTTGCTCGATCGCGAAGAAAAACAAGTCGCGCTTTATCAGCGACTGTTTCGTGTAATAGCTTGACTCAAACCAACTCAACTGCTTGCCATATATATTCATAAGATGGAATTTTGCGTCGGGGTGACATAAATTTAATATAAGGTTTTGCCATTTACTGACATATAAACTCTATACTCGGTAGTCCTACCCGAGTGATTTTTTCCAACTTTCGCTCGGGAGGTAACACACTCACACTGAGTTTACAGTGTTTGTACATCAATGAAGGGCAAAACCTAATATTAAACTATTGAACTAGTCTGTTGTGCCACCGTGCTGGAAGTGGAAAGTCAAGTATGAAGTCGTCCATTGGACAGTCGAGTTGTCTCCATGAGTTGTACAGTGGATGAGTTGGCAAATGGTCAAGTTGGTTAAGTCGAGTTGGCAGTAATGGCAAACGGTTGAGTTGGTTCGAGTCCAGTTTGCAAACATGGCAGACTGTCAAGTTGACTGGATACCATGTAGGCCTAACCATGTGTTCCCTATAACAGTGGGGTGCTGCGGCAATAGACAAAGTGACATCTTGTGTGAATAATGAATTGTTGGACAGAATTTGTCAATACAAACCCATGTGTTAAGCTTGCCGTCTCTGGTCTAGGACTGTTTGACATGTTTAAGTTTTCTTTATCAATATCCAGGAATTGCATTGTTTATGAGAGATTACACATGTGCGAGTAAAATGTCCATTTGGCTTATTTCATGGCTTCTGCTTCTTATGGTTGGCATATTTTAAATAACTAAACATTCTGTGCTTACAATTGAAGAAGTTTAACATGCTAAGCATGACATTCTACTCAGTACTTGGCCTGAGTAACATTTGGTCAAGACATGGCTATAGTAGAGCCTAGGGAACCTTTCATGGACCTAAAAAAAAAAACCTCATCGCATACTCCTAGGTCATGGCCCACCAAAACCATCAGATTTTAACCCCCCCCCCCAAAAAAAAACACATTCCAAAGTGCCAAATATACACCACCTCAGTATCCAGTAGAGATCGAGAATTAAGATGGTGGGTCTTAGGTTAACTTACAGTTTGGAAGAAAAGAAACATTTCTGTTCAAGTTGGAGAGCTGCTGTTCATTTGATGACATGTTAAGTCCCGATTTGTTTGTATGGCGAAACAGTGACAACATTACGAAGGGGCGCAGCGCTGATGTGGTCCTGAAGAACAAGTGCAGACTGAGTGCAAAATCGTTGCAGCGCGTGTGAATATGTGTATAGACTGGTTCCTGCTTGTTAATGCCACTGCATACCGAGTGGCACTGGAGATATAATGAACTGGTTTCTGCCCACAGGGACTGGGGTGGAAACCAATGTAGAAGATGATCAATATATGCATCATGTTTTACTTGTTCATCACACTATTATTCCTTTAATTGTCACTCGTAGAACCTAACCTAACTGTCTATACTCAAATTTAAAACTTCAAAAAAAATTATGCGATACTGTTGATTACATACGCGTGCAAACTTGTTAATTTAATAAGAACAAATTTATGAATGAAAAGTCATCTGAATTACTTGTCTTTGTAGTTATCAAGGATGGTGGCCCCAAGTTGCCTACGTGAAGCTTTCCTCCAAGCTGCTGAAAACAACGATCAGGAAGAATTCATTCATTTCCTGCAACGACATGTGAGTAAATTATAAAATAACTTGTCCTGAACTCACTGACACTGTACCAAATGCCCCTTGCCATTGTTTTAGTTGCTTTAAAAAAAATTAAGCAGTATGATTGTTTCCAATTTAGGTTTTAATTATAACTAGAAAGCACTTGGAGAGCGCAAACCTCCACCAAGGCTTAACAATTCCCTATCATATTGTCAGTGCACCCAAAAGAAATGGTGAAGAATGCTTAAAACAATCCTGGATCCAGACCCTACGCTTCTCCAATCTTTGGTAATTGTTTTGTTTATGTGTTGACACAGAAACCACTTATAGGCATTATAAGATTTTGATTTGCTTGTAACTTGTTGCAATTATTTGCAGAATGCAAAAGACGATGACTTGACTGTTGAAGAGATCCTACAGAGCTTCTCACGTAAGCAGTATGATCGTCTTTGGTCTGGTCTGAACCAGATGTGTGCATCTACACTCCTGAATTCACCATTTGAAACTGCAGAAGATAGTGAAGAGGGGGCAGGGAACAAGGTTAGTTCATGTAGTTCCACCTGTAGAGATTTGTATAAAATCCATTGGGCATGAGAAGTAACAAAAGGACCTGTACCTAATTTAGTTCTCTCACTGTTGTGTGCATGTATTTTTTTGAAAAATATTAAAAATTTTGTTTTCCGACGTTGACATTGAAATAATTAGCTTGTTTTCTAACATTTACACAAGTTAATTAAAAAGAGAAATTAAGCAATGATATTAAAAATCTCTGCCTGTTGCTTCTACTTCTGTTTGTTACAAGTTCCTTGACACATATGATATGCATGAATATCTCTGAGGTTTAATGGTAAGGATCTGAGATCATCATTTTACTGAAATTACATCTTAAAATATTTTTGTTCACTCTACTATCTGGCATTTGATTTGTGCTTTTCTCCAGAATGTCCCTGGTGTGTACGTGTTTTTTCGTGTTGTAAACTCATTGTAATATTAACCACAGTTACTTACTCATGATGTGATCTTTGTTCAAGACATCTTTGCACCAATCAACCTTTGACCTTTGACATTGACATGTAGGAGTCTTCCTTGGCAACCCATGTCTGCCTCCAAGGCATTGTTACTGTGGCCTCTATTTGTCTGGCCATGAACAAGCCAGTCATTACACAGGCAATGTTTGAGACAACTATTTACCTTCATGGTAAGTGTTTAAGGTGTCTGTGTCTAATATCATTCCATCATTGACAAAAGTTTGATTATCAATTCTCTGAGAAATACCGTAGTTTCCCTTTTAGAATTTATAATGTACACGCGTTGGGACAAGAATCAGTCTTCTTGCACAAAAGCAACCAAAAACTAGAGGTTTGTGTTTGTCTTTGTAACAAACACGGGGTGATGGGGCACAGAACTATTTTATTTGACATTGTCTAATTCAGTTGTGAACATGATTAAGCAAACAACAGGAACAGTATGAAATTAAAAATGTTCAGTTTAAGCATTTATGAATTTGAACAAATGCATCCTTCAGAGATCGCATAAAACACATTTTATTAACATGTTACTTCAAGTTTGATGACTTCATCAGTAAAAACTGTACATAATGAATGCTAAGTTAGTTTAGACAGGTTATAAATGCTATATTAAAGTGAAAAGAACTTCTTGAAATATAAATATTACACAAACATATACGCACGTATCAATGACACCCGCCTTCTGGTTTCATGATGTTACACTATTAGAGTGCTCATCGTCAATAATGAAGCTGACATTATTATTTTGGTAACAATGATCCCCAAAAGGTACCGAATGATGGATATTAATTTTAAAATGCAAAAAACATTGATCATTTCCAAAGTCTCCGTACTATAACCATAACTTCTGGTATGATGACGTCATCATTTTGTCCAAAGAATGTTTACGAGCAATTTGGTAAAATGTTGCCATTTTAAAAATAATTGTCAACAAATTCAACATTTAGGATGTGCCACTAGAGAGGGTCCTTTCTGGCTATGACACCATCGTGACATTTTTCAGTTTACCATCATTCCTTACTGAATATTTTCTGAATTAGCGTTACTGTAGCAAAATACTTTCGTTTTCAAGTTGTAGACTCATTAGTTATTGCACTTCCAGTAACCCCGGAAGTAAAAGTCAAGTAGTTTTGTATCTAGGAACCAAAAATGTTGCCAAAGGCAATGTTTACCACCTCACTAAAAATGAACCCAGTAATCATTCAGTTCAAAAGATATAGTTGAAAGTATTTTGTTAAATTTTGACCTTAAATCGCCTGTAATTTGATATGTGATGATGTCATGATGACATCACATGTTCTTTCACATCTTTGGACAAGGGGTAATGTTTGAAAAAGTTTCATCTTTCATCACTTGACCCGTTTGGATGAAATTATGTTTGTTTTAATATCAAATCTATTATTTCAGTGTTTTTCAATTCACCAAACGCTGACCTTTCTTTAACCCTGGAAGTAAAGGTCAAGCGACTTTACGTACACGATGAAAAATTGTCTTCAAGGCATATGGTTTATCAGATAGCAAAGTATGAACATGATTCTTCGGTTTGTTAATGATTTATGATTGAAACAAAATGGTCACTTTTTGAACTTAAATCACTTGTAATTTGATACCTGTTGACATCATCATGACGCACACTGTATGCACATCTCTGTATCAAGGTTGATGTTCATACCAATTTCTTGCATTTTTTCATTTAACATTAAAGAAAAGCCACAGAGCATTATTTTCAAGAAAATAAAACACACACAAGAAGGTCAAAGAACATAGACAAACCCAAAGGGTGATGGGGCTCAACACCTGATTTTTAGAGGATTGCAGAAGCCCCAAATAATAAAAAAATGTTTCTGTCAAAATGAAACACTTTAGGAGAAAAAAACCCCAAATTGATTGAAGAGCTTAATAATCACCATTCAACTGGCAATGCGTTTGAATGTCTCTTCCATTTCCATTGGTCTCCCCCAACTCTCCTTTTGTGCCATTGAGGGGGTACTTGTGCATGGAGCCCATTATGAAAATAGCTTTCAAAAATCACAACACATTACCAATGCATTTCCACAAAGTCTATATGAATGCATGAATGGCTGTGAAAGGTTTCAATTTGTTTGTTTGGTTTTCATCTCTATTCTTAGGTGTATTATTAGATCTTCCTGACTCTGCCAGCAAGTTACAGCATGGAATAGCCAAGCTGTGTGAAAAGTGGTATGTTTGGTTTCTGTATTGTTAAACACCACGTTCCTTCACATAGAGGAATAAAAAGACACCATATCTGACAGTCACCTTGTTAAGACGCTTCTGTCTGCAGTGAATTATTATGTTTTCATGATTTACAACTCTTGTGATGAGGATCTTGTGAACTTTTAGATTGTTCTAAAAAATTAGCTACACGCAGCTATCAGCATACATCAGGTACATATGTCTCGGACAGATTAGGGTGTGTTTATAATGTGGGCGGTACAAGGACATGTTTTTTTTTGTCTCAAGTCTAGATAAAATTTCTAAAAAGCAAAACTGAAATCTTATTTTCTCATTTATTCACCATTGTTTCAAACCATTTGTAAATGGTTTCCCATTCTCTCTGTAGAGATCAGAGAATTAAATAATGATAATTTCCCGTTAATGACTACCAGGTGGGTTAGTGAGCACATGGGACGGGAAGAGCTTGTGGCCAACACCCTCATGTACTTTATAGTCAGGAGCCTGCAGTCATCAGCAACCATTGCTGATATCAAGAGTCTGGATAGCCTACGCCATGCCTTAAGCAAGATTAACCTTGATGTGGAGAGCAGTACTACACTGAAGGATCTCTTGGAGCAGTGTATGACCAAACCAAACTATCTCAAGCAAGACAAGGTAGGAAGCAGCATCAACAACCTGGCTTCAATGCCAGTGTTTTGGATAACCTATTTTATTCATCATTTTAGATTTTAAAGGTTTGAAGTCAATTAAGAGACCTGGTCTTTCTGTCTACCCGTTTAGATACATGTCTATCCGGTTCGTTAGTGACTTCATTGTACACGCCCACACACCACTGATTACGCCCATTGGCTAAACTCTCAAGTGGCGTTAACTTTCGGTTCCATTCGTGCTATGCTACACCGTGTGAAGTACGCATGGTCAAGTTGAGATGACGTCACACTAACGAACCGGATAATCTATCTTCAAGCCACATTTAGTTTGGAATAAATTTTGCTTTGAACAATCACTGATCAGCAAAAATCACTGTTAATTGTGCAAAAGTTCAGATAAAAATGTACAAGCTCTTACAACCAAAGAGGTTGCAAAATTGCAAAACAAATGATAATACATGTTCTTATTTCTGTTTTGTTGTTGGGATTCTCATCATGTTTTTGTATTAATGCAGGGTCGTCGATTCTTAAGCTTCCTGTTGACATTGAATCCATCTTTCCTTGAGAGACTTCATAAGGCTATTAAGACTCAGTTACCAGTCTGTCCAAAGTAAGTTATCTTCAAGAATCCCAGTATGTTAACTAGTTCGCGTCGGATGACGTGATAACAAGCACTGGCTGTTTTTATACACAGGCACGGCTGACGAGTTAAAACGTCAAGATTGCCTCGACTCGCCTCGGGGTGACGTCTAAATACGCTAATCCCTTGTGCCTTTTGTACACACACACAAAGTCTGTGATGTCTGTGGAGGTGGACCGTGTGGATCTTGAATTGGCTGGAGTGCACGGCCTATTGTTCGACAATTTGCGCTCCAGTGCACGCCCCGGAGTATTGAAAGAAATGAGCAAGAAATATTGTACAAATACTGATGGAATGACTCTTGTGAATCAGTAGTTGTGGCGTTTGGTTGTTTATCAGAAGTTGGCTGGAAAATCTTGCCTTTTGCGAAAATCAAAATTTTCCACAAAAATAATTCCGGTGCGAAGTAGTTAAAGGAATAATAAGTCTTTGTGGTCAGCTGTGTAGAAAGAATCAAACAAAATCCAATAATGAGTTTACTTGGTGTCACACTTAGGTCGGCTATTGACTCTTACGGTGAGATATACTTCAAGGCTTGGAGGGTTTCCAGTGGACCTATTCTCGAGGTAATAGTTTACTTATATTTATTGTGGCTTCTTTTTTTAAACTTCTTTTATCTTTAATTCTTGCAAAGTGAGTAAAATGTTATCAATTCAAAGTGCCTTTACATTATGATGTTGAAGATAATCACAGTAACGAAAAAATTCTTATTAAAACGACTGGTTTAATTATTGTCACGGGCCAGAAAAGTTCCCCTAAAGTTATTAACCAAAATTTAAAGTAATTCCTTGAACTCGCAACAAAATCAAAAAGTATGGTTCATAGAAAACTATAAACATTGAATTCACTGTTTTGACTTAATCACAGCTTGAAAGATTAAGTATGAGATGCTTCGTATTAGTTGAAAATGGTTCAGTTACTGTTCTGGACTTGGCAATAACCCACTTCCACATATACAACAACATGTGTGTCTCCTCAGTGTTACCATAGATGTGGAAAAAAACTATATCCTAAATATACTCAATTAATAAGCCATTTGCCAATTAAATTCGAGTAACATCTGGTACCCTGACTTGCTCGAATGCTTGGCACATTTTAACTCTAAATTCTCCAGACCAAAGAGACTATTGGTATATCATGAGATTCGGGGCAAGCGTTACGCTAGCAACCCCCAGCTCCGAGATGGTGTGGTGTCTTTGTGCCATTCTCACCCATTGTGAACAATGTATTGGTGCTAAGCGTCTCTTAGGTAACTACCGGTATATGCAAGAGCTTGCCCCGAATCATGTGATATAGCAACAGTGTCATTGGTCTGTAGAATTCAAGTTAAACTATGCCAAGCATTAAGAGCAAATCAGTGTACCAGATGTTATTCAAATGTAACTTGCAAAGGGTATAGGTTATTCGCAAAAGGCTAATTGTACGAAGAGTTTTTATGCTCCTCAGAGACATGCAGAGAAGTAATGGAAACTTGGTCTCAATGTTTATTGGTAAATTACTATCTTTTAAATAGTCATTTGTTGAATTGTTGTTATGCAAGAGCACTATTGGTCCATTGAATGCTACATTGCAAGTTCCAGCTGCTTCCATTATGAACCTTAACCTCCTTGAGTGATTACTGGGAACCTTCCTCACTCTTGCAAAATCCAACGCCATATGGGAGCTCAAAACATTATTGGGCAGAGCTTAACTGATCACTGATTGGTCTATTACATGTATCTCTCTACTCACAGAAACTAGAGAAACATTGTATCCAGGACTTGATGTATCATGCTGTGCATGCCTGTCGTGTGGGCTCCAGATCATTGGCTTCAACATTGAGACAGGTATGATCAAAAGCATCCATCTTGGTCATGTTCCCTGACTGCATAGCAAATATTGCTCTGTACAAAACGTTACGCCACACCCCCTTCCCTTTTCATTCGAAATTTGTAATGAAAATTTGGGACTTGAATTTAGACAACTGAAAACCTGGATGACATTTTTGGTTAATAGTTTTAACGTGATTTTAATATGAATTTTTAATATGATTTTTTCACACACCCAAGGAGTAAGGGTTAAGAAAATAGACAAGGATTCTTCAGTTAATCAACTTGATTAATCCTTGGTATGTTTCATGAATACATAATTTAGATTTTAGAACACTAATTCATAAAAACCTGGGACAGTTTACTTACTCCTATTGGTCAAGGGTTCATCAAGTGCCATTCAAACACCACTCGGTGGTTAAGTGGCCATGTTTAAAACCAGTTGCGAGACATTGTATTCTGTTTGTGCCACACATGCAGGCTACAACGAAGTGCTTGAGAACCACTAATATGATCTCCGTATTAGAAGATATTGAGCACACACGTGCCCTACATGCACCATACTAATGGCCCAAACAGGGAGTAAAATGGTAAACGAAAATGGTTGTTTTCAACTTTTTATGGTTTGAACAGGTATTTATGAATGGGGATAATAGTGAGATGGCCATTATTGGTGGCCAGGCCCCTAATGGGTTTTAAACCACTCGTTTATAACTCTTCCATCACACTCTTTTCCCCTTAATATCCATGGGTTGCATGTGCAAGACCGAAATTAAGAAAATGGTTAATACGGCACAGGCACTTTTATTGATTTGTTTAACTTGTCAGTCAATTTCTGTGGACTGACAAATGATATGTGTGTTGGCTGACCCTGGTTTGCCTATTTTGTACACATACGTTAAGAATTTAACATGAAGACCATTTATCTGTGCACAGCTCCTGAGTTACTTCAGCAAGCAGAAGCGCCAGCAGGGTGTGGATAAGATGCTTCTAACTCTCTATGAACCCATCATATGGAGAGCCGTCAAGGTAATGATTATACGGTTTCCATTGTACTTATAACTATACTATAACTATACTATAATTGTGACTGTTGATCATAGAGCTATATTAAATTACTAGAGCGCTAACTCGTCATTCTGCGCGCGGAGACGCTTTGAAGCCGTCCTGGGTGTAGACATTTTTAATTCATGTGCGCGTTTGTGGAACATAATGAAATTAGATGGATTGAATTTTTGAAAGTGTACTCTACATGCAACGCACAAGTAGAACATATGCAAACAACTTAAGCGCATCATCGATGGTTAAAAAAACGTGACCGTTGGCAAGAAGCATCTGCAGCAAATACGCGCACGCATTGCGCTGTTTGCGTAGAGCAAAATGACACGCTCATTTTGGCTTCGTTAACGCACCGGTATGGAATACAAATGCAGATATACAAATAGCCGTACAAAAGCCGTACAAAAAACAATATAAAAACGCACGTAAAAACAATATAACAACAAAGGAATTCTGGAAAGGTTTCAAACCACCACGCACGATACTGTGAATGTTGTGTAGCATGCAAAAACGATATCGTCCATGTGCACGCGGTTAACTACACGTGTACGTTGACAGGCAATTGCAAGCACAGTGCCACACTCTCCATAGACTTTGCACACAACCTGCGTAAAGATAGCCGGGTATTCAGCCAGATTCTCCGCCGCGTGTAGAAATAGTCACCTGGTGGTCAGTGCGAGTCAGTATTCAGACAAACTGATGAAACGGCAATTTAGGCTGATACCCGTGCTTCGGGAAGCACATTAGCTCTAGTTTGTTTCTTTTATTGTCTCGTGATGTTACAGTACAATCATTTTCTTTTATAAACACACCCTGTCTTATCTTGACTGCCATCAAGGCATTCCACAGAAATCTCCTTAGATTCTCTTGTGTAGGTCTCGATGGCCCCTCAAACGTTACCATCAATATTTAGATATCTCAACGTGGTCTCTGATGCTCCTCCTGAAGCCCAGATTGATTGATGTTAGTAATTGCCTTGGTGTTTGCTAGGTTGCCAATGCCAGTGTGCGTGCCAATGCAGCAGCTCTACTGATTGACGCCTTCCCTCTGCAAGACCCAGAATCTAACAAGGAGGACTCCGATGCACTCACACAAAAACAGTTTGACATTTTCCAGGTGAAGATTTATTGAAAATATATATATCTTTGAAATGAAAACGAGATATACTTTCATGAAGTTGATTAATTTTTTTTTTTTTTTTTTTTTTTTTTTTACATATGAGGATAGATTATTGTGAATTCATGATTAATAACAAATTACAAGAGACAAAAATAGAATCCACGAATGAGGGTATTGAAGTTGAATACCCTGTCACAATTTAAAACAAACCCAAATATGACAGATTTACACAGGGTCCCCTGAAAAATAAATGTTCAGAAAATCAATTGAACACAATCCTTAATCCAGTTGCATGGCAACACATCAGTCAACTATTGGTTTTGTGAAGAGACAAATTGGGCAATTAATATACCATTTGGTAGAGTTTTCAGAGGATAATTTGAAGTGCTTCCATATTATGTTCTTTAGCAGAACCAAGGATTGCAGACAATGCAAAAATCTTATGACATCACAAGCAAAACAAGTTCTAGAAATAGGAAAAGAAATCTGCAAATGTTCTAAAACTGTACACAAAAGTTGTTTTTTTTTCTGTCTACATGGACAGGAAGGCTATTTGCACAAATTCAGAAGACTGCATGTGTACATGTTTCAGTTTCAAACTGAATAAATCCAATCTTACACCTGCCCCATGTTCTCCTTTGTTAGGATCTGCTGGATGATCCCTGCCCAGTAGTCCGTGTGACCGGTGTCCATGGCATATGTCGTATTGCCAGTGTGTTCTGGGAGCTGATACCAGGCCACACCTTGGAAGCCTTCATGACCAAGCTGATCAGAAACATGGCATTTGACATCAGTACAGCCGATGTAAGGGCTGCCGTCTTCAAGGTGAAGTATTCACATGATGGCAACTTTAAGGCTGTCGCTTTCTAGTCAACGTTTTTCAACAAAAATGATGCAGCTGTATGTTTTTTGGGCCTGTCACAGATCTGTTGTGATGAAGCATGTTAGGCCAGATTTTATATTTGACATGCCAGCTGAACTTGAGAAGACCAGTTATTAGTTTGAGTTCGTGAAGCTGGAATACTACCGCCATCAGACATGTTCATGTTCTATCAAATGGCTGAGCTCTCAGGAAATGATTAAGACTTAAGATTCAGCTGGAAAAAAATGTTTGTCTGAAGATTAGTACAAAAGCATTTACATTATCCTGAAATTCAGCAACTGGGAGCATTAGTTGATAATAACCAGCTTGATTTTGGATGACACATTCTTTGAAGCCACCAAACATTGTTCTGTAGGGATATCCATTTGTAAATTGTTTTTTTTTGTTAGCTGGTGAGGTGCTTTACAAACCTGGTTCATTTGCAGCACAACTGTGAACCAGTTAAGCAGCTTCCTAGGAACCATTTGTACTTGTAGCAAGGCCTTAAGGTTGCAGGCCAGTACATAGGCCCAAAATTGCCTACACCGGCCAAATCATGATGTGCAGGCCCTCAAATTCTCTGCTATTAGAGCATTTTGTTGGCCATGAACTTGAGAGTTTGTAAGAAAGAAGGGTGGAAGCTGTGCACAGGACGGTGAGCTTGTATTTCTGTGAAATTTGGCCCTAAAGTGCTCTGTTTTACAATGGAGTGTAGGCATCATTTTTCAAAATGGCGATGGGTATCAGGACTTTTTAGGGGTGATCATCTTTGGATGGAAATTTCTGCCAAAAGTCATCGGATTACCCCACAAAATGTAACAGAAAATAAAAAATGATGATATAAGCTATAATTTGATGTGTGTCTCGACCACCTTGGAGAGTTGTGAGTATTTTTCCTGAATTTTGGAAGAGGGGACTTTTATCATTTGGGTCTATGGCAGTTTATTTACTAGTTTGCAACCTTAAAGATGTTATTCTTTGCTCTTACGCCTTTCAGGGTCTGACGAACCTCCTTGACAACCATCTGAGTCATCCATTACTGAAGAACTTTCTACCCATCTTGAAAGATTTCATCCATGACAGTTCAGAAAAGGTCCGTGTGGCCTTTGTGGATCTCTTGCTTAAGATCAAAGGGCTGAGAACCATCAAGGTAAGATGTGGTCTCCGAATGATGACTTGTTGTGTATGCTTAGACATGCAATCAATGGATGATTGAAGCAGGTGGAAGTGCGTTGCTTTAATGAAACAGGGGAGCATGTCCTAGTGGTCAGAGGTTCCAATTCAGCCATTTGTCGTTAGTTTTGTCCTTTGGCAATCCACTTCACTCCCCACCTGCCTCTCGTCAACCTATAGTATTTGCTTTGAGTAACGTGGGTTGGATGGTATCCCATCGAGGGGCGAGAGAAGTATTCTCTTGTCATTTTCACGTTGAGATAATTGGAGATGAATATCATACTTTTCTATAATCGTTATATCAACCAAAGCATATTGATACAAATTGATATTGATTTCATTTGAAACACACGTTGCAAGGTCTTACCAGGCACACCAGGTGTGTAGGAAGTGCACACTGCGACAATCACAGATGTATTCTGAAATACATGTGATTAGTGCATTTAGTATATCATTTGTCATTTGTGCATTTTTTTCGTTTGAAGTAACAAAAGTGCTCAAAATCTAAAGACGAGTGCTTAACAATTAACCTGAAGAAGTTTTTGCTCAGCGAATGCTATAGATTCTGAGAAAACAATATTCTAGGATCTCGATTTCAATTCAAAAGTTGCCGAGTCATGTTTGGAATTGCACCCAAAATCAGCGTCCGGGACATGTTCTCATTCAGCTGATTTCAATTACACGATGTAACGCACTGAAGCGACGAATTATAGCAACAGCGTACGCAGGTGCACACCCATTCATGGAGGGTTATTCAAGAAATATCAATATATTGAATGACCCTCACTGAGTTGTATCAGAAGGTTTTAAGTTCCGCCAGATTGAGACATTTGTTATGTTCTTGTACATATAGTATTGGAATATAACCCCTATGGAGCATCTTCTAGCTCAACTGGTGGAAGATTCTGCCCCTGTGGCTCGTCGTCTGGTCGCTCTTCTCTTCAATTCACTCCAGCCAGTGGATAGGACTGGTGAGGTCCAAATAGAACGCTGTATTACCCTGATCCAGACTAACCCGACTGCTAGCAGGGTGTTCTATCAGTATGCACATAGGCATATGTCAGTAGCTACAGCAGGTAGGCTCATGAATGTACATCACTGTCGGTCTTACATGTGCATTACAGAACTGCGGCACTAATTTAACATCTACATACGATGTATGAAGTGAGGAAAGTCTAAAGTGACATGGACAAAAAACAATAAAATAAGTGCTGTGAATCTGTACAATGAAAAAATGTAAATCAAAAGTTTTGTTGTATTTTAAGGGGTGTTTTTTTTATTATGTTGATGAAAATTTATCTTTTTTATTTCTGAAATTTCTTCAAGAAGCTATGAGCTAGATGTCTATAATTCATTCATGTATTGCAAGTAATGGAATTCAATACTTGATCAGAATAAACTTAATATTGAATAAAACCCAACATTGAATTGACATCACCCCAATGCACATTCCATCTAATGAATCGAAGAAACTTAAAGAAAGACATTTTCCCTTCAGCTCAGTGGTGGTACAGCCACAGATATTCCATTATGGCTGATGAGAATTGTCTTCCCTCGTCTGAGTAAGACCAAAAAAAGTCTGTACAAGTTATGCTGGTGATATTCAATCCCAATCTTGACAATTTGTTTTTCACCTTTTTTAGACACTCTGTGTTGCTAATATGGAAAATAATTTGATGGGAAATAATTCAAGCATGTTTCTTCTGAGTTTTGGTGGTGAAAGACAGTTTAGCATGGTTGATATTCACATATCACCTTGTTTTCCAGGGAAATTCTTGCTGCTTCTTGGCCAATGTATTCTGGGCTGTGTCCGTAAGGCTCAGTCTAAGAACGGACAATCCCAAACAAACCCCACCCAGGGGGCGGGGCAAGATGAAGGGGAGGAGGAGAAGGAGAACGTGGTTAGAGATGAGGACAGCTTGAGTCTACAAGATACTGACATCATGGAAGGAATGTTGGAGATCATTGCTGTACTCTGGACAGGAATTAATGATCAGCTGGCTAAGGTACTAATGCATGTAGATGCAGAGTTGGCTGTTGGGATCTTTTACTTCATGTCACTCATTCCATTGCAGATATTTGCAGAAAATGGGCTGGAACGTGGTGTTTATCAACCTGAAAAAGAAATGTTAGAGATCCTCAGCAATACTGAGAGTATATGAGTCCCTTTGACTGTCGAGTTGGAATTGTTTAACAATGATATTTATGTTTAATCTGTAAAAAATTTACCAAATTTATATGCAAGATGCAGGATAGACTTGACTCAAGTCAGGTGTCAGACTGTAATATATGCATCGACTATTGCAATATTACAAGAGATCTGTGTAACATACATCTTCACAAGTCAGTTTTGAGGCCAACATATAGTAGTTTAGTTTAGTCATCATTATTCCAACATAACCACATTGGCAATGTAGACCTACCTGTCTTAAGATTTTTTACAAGTGTTTCAGAATTTTGCAGTTTGCATGAAATTATCTAGTGTCAAAACTTGAGTTAAGCAACTCGCTACATTTCTGCTACCTCTTGCTGAAAAATTGCAAAGTTTTGCATCCTAAAACCTATAAATGCCTATGTTTTGGTGATTGGAAAACCTCTTAAAACTCACATTTTGATTTTCAAAACCTGTTAAAAAAACACTGTATTGATGAAGAGTGGCACTGTGAGGCCTGTAAATATATTAGATATGTTTGTGCAGCATCGACTCAGGTAATCTACCAGGACCTTCATACATGTGAGGTGGAGCTCATCTGCCATTTTGGGGAGCAACAAATCAAACTGCGATATTCAGAGAATTAGTATTTGAGGCAAATGCCTCCAGGATCACTAAAAACAACTTTGCCAACAGCAATGATTTGAGTATTCTGTATTCATCAATCAAGAATCTGTTGAAGTATTGATAAAGCTGTTGATAATACTCAAACCATTAATTACTTACCAGATATGCATATTCTTTCCTTGACTCATTTTTGTGTGTGTGTTGACTCCACAGCCTGAGAATCAAACCACTAAGAAGCAGCTTGTGTCTAGATTCAGCAAAGCCCTGCCAGAATTCCTGGCTGTCTTCCAGGTCAGCCCATCAGTATTATACGTTTGTATTCATTAATATGAATGACAGTAAAGACATTGCTATTTGCACAGAGCCTGTGACATGGTGTATATTCCATGTGGGACATGGTCTCTAATGGCTTTTAATGGTTCAAAACATCAGCGTAAATAGTACGGAGTGTACAGTCAGAAGATTGTGGGAGGCCAACGGCTGATTTCCGGAACAGTGGCTTAACTTGTGCCAAATTTGTTGCACAGCTGGGAAAAAAATTTACGATCAGTGTTGTAGTACTCGTACTCGGTTCTTGTACTCGAGTACTGCTCGAGTTCTTTTTTGAGAGTAATCGTACTTGAATGTCAAAGTATTCGTACTCGAAATGACGGTACTCGTACTCGGGCAGCAAGGTACTCGTACTCGACATGTCGAAATTGTACTCGATCATCAAGGTAGTCGTACTCAAAATGCAGTGCTCGAAAAAAAAAAATGGTATAGCTTGACTTACCATGGCCGTGTTGCTTTGTCCAATGCTTTGTCTTAATGATTATACTTTCAGTTCAAATGGTTGACTGACTTGCAGTGAAATCAAAGTTTTCTTACTTTCCTCTGCGCACGTTCCGGCAAGTGAGTGAGTCTGTATATCGGTCTGACTGGGCCTGGGCCAATTACACACAATGAACCATTTGCCGTATGTGGGCACAATTGCCAATCATGTACGTGAAATGCCGAGGTGTTCCTCAAAATGGTTGTTCGATTAACTTGGGTGATTGGAGCAAGGCCGTTTTCCAAACCCTGGTTTTGGGTCCAGCCCATTGCCAACCTGCATGAATGGAGAAAGAGACTGAGCTGAAGCCAGGGTTTGGAAAACGGCCCTTATGCCCGGTTCCGGCATCAGGGCCACAGACATAAACACAGGCCTAGGATCTAGATTGTCACGTCAGGGAAGCAGACTATATGCGTAGTACACATACGTTACCACAAATTAAAAATTAATTTCAAATAATTGAAAAATGCTTAAAAAGACGATCCCTAGTTTGTATCACAAGTGATTAACAGTACACATAATTTTCGGCTTCAAGCACAATGTACTAGTAGGCCTACTCGTACCTTTATTCGGACTTGTACTCGGACTACAAGTACTCGTACTCATACTCGGAAGTACAAGTACCTGCACTCGGAGACCCGTACTTGTACTCGGAAGTACAATTACTCGTACGCGTACACCTAAGTACTCGGCAGTACTCGGTACTCGGAAAAAAGTACTCGACTACAACACTGTTTAGGATCGATTTCACAAAACTTGGTGTAGCCGCAAAACGTTTCAAAAGTTTAGATGTGAAATACCTGCTTGTATTGTAGGCCGTTTGTGTATGATTTCTGTTAAGTCACAAAATAGTCCTTGAATCACCTCTGCCTGCCATTTTGAAAACAATTTGTCTGACCTTCGGAATTGTGTGGCAATTTTGTCACGGGTGAAATAGCAATTTGTTTACTTCAGGCACAGAGCTGTGAGTGTCTTGTATCAACCTTGATAAAGTGAGCAATGACAGACTCCATGATAATCGCAATTAGTCAGTAAAATGGTCCAATTTCAGTTGCAACACCGTACCTTTCGCTACCAAAATGATTGCATAATGTACGCCATAATTTTGTTGTGTGAGTTGCGGACGTACGCACTGTGAAACTTTTGTGAAGTGTATCATAACTGAAATGTTGCGCAATTGACGCAATAAAATGTGGTGCAGGGTTAGTTAAAGGGAAGATACAACATTTGCAAACATCAAAAAATGAAATGATCAAATTATCACGCAATACCTTACTGAATTGTTAGGGACTGACACTCTAAATCATCCTTTAAAATCATGGCTCCTGGTGTGCTGACATTTTTAAGAAAAACTATTTTTCCAACGCTGTACGGCTGACCAGCGTTGGAAAAAAACTGGCTCTTTTCAAAAACTGTTCCTAAGTTTTCATATTGAGTTATTCTGAATTTTCTTTGCAATTGATTACACACCTGTGAAGGGGTACAAGCCCGCTAGACTGATTCTCTGACCTTACAATTCCCCAAGTGTATTAATTGCTCTGTTTCATTTTAAGTGGGGTCAGGGAACCAGACTACAAGAATGTGATAGGTTTTCTTGGTTTTTCCAGCATCTACAAGCCCAAAACGTGAAACAAGTCAGTTGACAATATTTTCTATAACTACTAATCCTCCAAATCCATTTATTTCTGAAAATTACAGCAAAAGCAAATGTTGTACATTCACTTTAAGCCACTGCATAAAGTTTTGTGAAATAAGCTGCTGTACACGCATAAGTGTTGAAAGGTATCAACGAATCCAGGCATGTGATCATTGTACACTCATGAATCCCCCTTCAACGGAGAAGCCTGCTATTATACACGCTAAACAAGAATTTTTAAGGGTCTGTGTTGTAATAACGTTAACCTTAAAATTCCCTGCTGTGGTTTATGTGGATAAATTTGTATTTTTCCCCGAGTATTTTATACTCACTTGATGAAGATGGCTTTTGATCTTGCAAATAAAAAAACCAAATATCTTTCATTATCCAATGGATATGATGTACCGGTACATGCTAACAATACAATCTTGAAGCAGTTTGGCGTTATTGCCAAGTAGTCAATTCATATTGCATGTGAGTCATGACAAATTGGTAGTTTTTAAATTGTGAAGAAGAATAACATAACACAGTAATCAAGGAAGTTGAAATATGTCATTTTGTTTTCAGGATGGTCGTGCTTTGTCGGCTGTGTTAGTCATTGCTGGATATGTACCGTCGTCATCTATTCCAACATTCAGGTAGAATAATAATGCACCTAATCTGTCTTTTTTGAACGGTACTTTTTTTGAACGGCATTTATATGGCATATATTTCGTTATCAAAGTAATTTTTTCAAATGTTCATTGTATCTACATGTCAAATACTGTTTGTCTAAAATTATTTTGTTGAAGAATTACACCAGTAGTTCTTTCCATAGAAACAGGCATGCAACTCTTCCTCGGACCAACTGATTTCCTCGTTTTGTCACTTCACATTTATGCCACTATAACTTGAAAAACACTGTACAAAGTCTTGTAAAGCTTGGAATTTCATCTTTTTGTGTTACTTCCCAGTTGCATGCCTGTAGAAAGAACAACCCAGAAATTATTCCTTGAAAAGAGAAATGAAAAGTGAAAAATTATTGGGATTGAGATAGATCTGGTTTGTAATGCATTCGTTTGTTTGGACAGTCGGAGCTGTTTGACAACACTGAAGGCCATGACGCCCTCTGCCACCTCGTCTGACTTTGGACCCCTCCTGGAGTGTCTTGTGGCCTGGGGGCGGGGCTCTGATGTACTAGAGCTCATATCTGATTGGCTGGAGGCTGCACTCAGGACCAGTCCAAAATCTAAGAAGGTAACTTCAAAATCTAAGAAGGTAACTTTTTGAAAAGTTGAGACCTGGTCACAGATATTACAGTCAAATATGATTAATATGAGCAGGGTTTGGACGAGATCAATATTAGAATGAGCACATGCAGTAAGCAAGCTAAGCGATTTAATGTGGCCTGCTTTCTGAATTTTCTGCCACTGTTGCATTCACCTGGATGCTTGTACACATGGCAGTCCACACGTGCTGATAACGTGCGATAGAGATCTCGTTGGCCATTTCCCTTCACGAATGACATTCAGCATTTAGTGGTGTGCAAGACATTTAAGTTCTCCATTCAGATAAAGTAACATTAGCCAATATGTCATGCAAGCAAAGAGTTATTTTGTAATCAAGAAACAACACAATGCTTTGTGAGGTACACATGGTTCCTTGTAGGGAAGCAGGTACACAAAGTAACAATTAGAACAATAGATCCCATAAGTCAGTCTTTAGAAATCTATCTGCTCCATAACGGAGCTTTGAGATGTTCATGTAAGGCTGTATGTACTTAAGTGCAGTACAGCGTTTTGAGGAGTGATAGCTCTGCTCGTCTGGTCATCAATTCCGGCCATCGTGTTGTTTTCTTCGATTATTTTTTTTTTACTTTACTTTTAAACTTGTTTTTACTGTACATGAATACAACATGCTTTGAGGGAAGAAGAGAAAAAAATACTTGTCTCATAGTCTTGGAATTACGATTCTGATTTTGAATGACTCAGTTTTGCCTAAGCCTACTTAACAGCATGGGTGGTCACAAATGATCTTTTACTGAGTTGATATTGTATTTTTGGATGCAGAAATCTCGGCAGGTCAGTTTCTGTGATCCTATTCAGCCACAGCCAATTCTTGCATTGAGCTACCTGGACTGGCTACTGTCACAATTCCCATGCCTATCTGTCCTATTGGCATCCTGCTCCGATAAGCTTCAAGATCTCAGCTCAGTCCTCAAGACTACCCTGGTAAGAAGATATTTTGGTCTTTGCATGAAATGGATTGGATTGTATGCATATCATTGTATGCATATCCCATCTAAGAGGCAATTGCTTATAATTCTTGTTCCAAATCACACCAGTAATTGGTAAAAACAAAAGGTGTTAAATGTAGCTTTATTGGTCTCCAAAGTAGGTTTTATACTTACAATTACATCTTTGCATTGGCCACTATTCGTTTGGATTTTCTATAATCCTGCCTTGAACAAAACTTCACTCAAGAATTTATTCAGCATTTTGGCGACTCTTGCATAAAAAGTTTATTAATTAAAGAGCCCATGTCATATAATTTCCACCCATTATTTTCAGGTGTGTCTGGAGCAGCGTTTGATGAGCCCTAAGCCCTTGAGTGACCTGGTTACTGATGAGGTCTTGGTGACATCCCTTCAGATGTACTGCAGACTGCAAATCCACCTGACATCTGGTCATTTGGTCAGTCAGTTGGACCAGAATCTTACAGTAAGAGTTATTCCGGCGTTTGAAGAAAGAATCAACGTTAGTAACCATATACATCCAAAAAAGGGTAAAGACAGTGACAAAATTAAGAGTAAATGATGGTGAAATGTTCACCCAAACTGCAGCATTTCCATCATTCACTCTGTATTTTGTCTCTCTCTTCAACTGTTCTGGCTGTACATGGTTACTACTGTTGATTCTGGAGGTTTTCCACCAGTCAAACAGCGACAACACCAAAAATGAAACATTTGACCTAAACATGTGTACTCCATGCTTTTACCCATGCTTGCATAAAGTTGAATTTATTAGTGAACTGTTAAATACTACATTACTGCTACACATATTTTTATTATATTTACATTAAGTAAATTATTACATTGATAATTGTTATATTTAGTTAATTGTTACATTGAGTAAATTGATAATGATAATATAAATCCGTCCAGAATTATCTTGATAACTTGTCTCTGCTACTTAGACTCAGGATGGAACCATGAGTAGGGGTGCGACATGGACTCTGACTGAGCTGATTGCATGGGCAGATAGGGAGATACTCACTAGGATGCAAGGGGGACCAGACCCCAGGACAGATCACCAGTCAGCTGATGAGGATTGCCCAGCAGCTAAAAGAACCGCAGTAGACACGGCAGATAGGAATCTGTTGGATCTTGGAATGGAAATCTTGAAGGTACCTCAACACAGGCTTGCCTATCTGGAATGATATACTTATTGTTAGAAGTATTGGAAAGTACTAAACATTATAATCAGAAGTATTCAGAAAACCTGAGAATATACCGATGTTAGAAAAAAAGACAGTGTATTCACTACGTTTGAAGTTAATCTAGCATGGATGGAAGCAGTGATATATTTAATAACACATTTATTATCTGTTTCATTGGGTTTTCCCCGTCTTATCCAACCATTGCAGGTTATTCTCAGCATGAGTAGTGAGACCATCATGCTTGGAATCAGTGACAAGGAATTCCAGACTGGATTGGCTGACTTCTGTCAGCTGCTTCTCAAAACAGGTACAAAAGAATGAGCTGACAAAACATCTTCTGATCAACTTGGTACTTGGTTGGTTCTTCTCCTGAATACTCCGCAGGGAAGTTTGAACAGGAGGCCAGAAACACAAGGCAAACCCCTTCTCTTTAGCGATAGGTGTTACTGGGTTCTTTTACGTGCATTGCATTACACAACACACGGGACCTATGGTTTTACGTCCCATCTGAAGGACGAAGCAATAATGGTTAAGTGCCTTGCTAAAGGGCACAAGTGTAGACTTGTGCAATGTGCAAAATGATCCAATGTACCCTTAAGATAGTCAGTAAAATAAAAACATCTATTTTTAAGAACTACATGTATATTTAATTTCTGGTAATGTTTGTAATGTGTTTAACGCAACAAAACAAAGGTAATTCTACAAAAGTTGATTTGTTATCATGTACCCAACCCGAGTGGTATATTTAATCCTAATAAAAGTAATATGCAACACAGTGCATCAGGGGGAAAAGTCTGGTGCACTTTGATGTATTCAGCTACCAACACCAGTGTATAAACGGCCAGCTTCTGAGACAATGAGAGCTAGTCCCATTGAACAATGCCACAGGTGTATCCTGCTGCATTCGGTGACCACAGACTCTGAGGCAGTTTGGCCTTAAAGACTTTTGGCCTGATGGATCTTGCTACACTGGGCAGGGTTGTCACTTGGACAAGTGTTGCATGTTGCTGCACTTAGCAGGGTTTCTAGCCAAAATAGCCTTGAGGGTTAGGGTTAAGGTCTGATCTTGTCCCCTTTTTGTCTTGGCACAGACTATGGCTTTGAGTTACTTCCAGTGGTTACCAGACTTCTGTATCAAATGAGCCAGCAAGATCTGAACCATAGCCTGATGGATGACAGGGGGAGGACTGATGATGTAGCATCCAGCCATCTCCTTGGTTGTCTCATCAAGACACTGGTAGACAGAACTATGCAGGATTCAGATGGGACAAAGGAACAAGTACAAAAGGTAGGAATGGAAGTGCCAAGAAATCATTTTCTATGAGGAAACAGTTTACTGTGTAGAATGAATGCTAATAAGACCCGTCCTCTGTGAAGTTTTGCAGTTTGTTCTGTTTTTATGTTATGATGTCACACCAACCTTGCTTGATTTTAGATTGTAATCCATTAAATTCAAAATTTCACACGCTGTAATTTGGAATTAATTATGAAAAAGACCAAATTTACATACGGTAACTAAACAATCCCTTCAGCATGTTGGTGGTTATTCAGAATTGTGTATTAAGAGGAGCGCCTGTCCATTCAAGGTGAAGAAATTGAAGACCGCAAAGCTACCCTCACCCCAAGCCCATTACATTCCTAATAAGTGACAATCAAGACTATGGACAAAATGAAAAGAGGGACACTTTTTGGAACTGGCCATAACTCATTAATTATTTTTCCAATTTGAAATATTTTTGTTGTTGGAAAAGCTAATGATCAATACTTGTCAAATATGTATCAATTTTTGCAATAGGTTTTTAAAAAGCTGTGAAAACAGGGTGCTTTGAGTTTTTTTTATTACACCCTGTACAATATAATGGATATAAAGAACAAGTGATGAGATTGCCTTTTGTGTTGTCCAGACCCTGACTGCAATGAAGCCAGCCATGCGTGAAGTCTTACACTGCTGCCACAAACAACAGCAGCAGCAAGCAATCCTTGGCAGCCCAAGACATGACATCATGTCATCCATCATGGCTGCTTCAGTTGCCGAGGTAACGCATCACATGCAAGGAGGTGGGCTGGACCGTTGCCGAGATGTGACTGAATTACCCACAGTATCTGCCTTCTTGTTGGGTCTGATAGCACGTACACAGTCCAGGCTGGGGTAAATCAATCTCTCAATCTCTATCCATATATCGTCGTGTCCGTGCAACAAGGTCCTATCTCCTACAATGACATTTACACAAAACGCGAGTTTTAGGATGTCTAAAGGTCGTATCTTGCTTAAAATAACCCGGATGTACACACAAAGTCAATGGATGTCAAGATACGACCTTGTTGCGCGGAGTGTATTCGCGTAAGATACGACTTTGTTGCAGGATTGAGTTACAACTTTGTTGCACTGACTCAATGATACATGGGGCTTCTGGAATGTCTGTTTTGTGACTTTTGTCTCGGGCCTTTTACGGATTGAATTTACATACTAATTTAATGTTCTTCTTTTTATGAATATTTTATTTACTCCTTCCTTCACCATTCAGGTTTAATATTTCCTGAACATTTTCATGTTGTATTTACCTTGATTCAGATCCTTTGTGAGTGAGATGGAACGGTTCACATCATCAGATGCCGTAGGAAGCATTGAGGATCTGACAGCAGTTTTGCATGTACTGTATGCAATCAGCCACGGTAATTGCATCTTCTGTGTCTAAGTCTTCTCTCATAATATAAAAGATGTCAGTCAGTCAGAAAGCTTCTCAATCAAGGTTTTGGTGTTTTGTGAATCTGAATAGCTTTCCAATGATGTAGAACACTTGGGCATTAAAAAATTTTGTTCAAAAGTATTAACATGATACTTATCATTATTATTAACCCTCCTACTGTTTGAAAAGTCACAGACAGTCAAAAATTCCATCCACTTCCCCTGCCAAGCACTTTGACTTAACAAGTTCAGTCAACAGACAAAAGCAGGCAACTGTTAAGCACAACTGTCTTATCAATCTCCTACTGTCAAAGCATAGCTGTATCAAGTTACATAAACAGTCCCAGCCAGTCAATCCTGCTTTATGTAAGCTGGGAGCGTTTAACTCTTGAAAACAGTCACTTGTTTGATTTTGACTGAAAGGACAACTTGGCACAGAATGTATGTTTGCATAGGAGGGTTAATCATTTCTGGTAATGAAACCAAGGATTCCTCAAAAGCGCCTTAGGCACTGTAGCTCGCAAGCCCAAAGAAACCTGTAGAGAGGAGACAACGAGACGAAATTACAGTTTTAGAGGTGGGAGGAAAAACCCAGAATGATGTTCTAGGAAAAACCTACGGAATCAGGCAGAGACTGAAAACTCAATCCACATGTTGGCCCAGGCGGGATTCGAACCCGGGTCACAACGGTGGAAAGTGAGGAAAGAACTGCTACACCAACCTGAGTCCCTTTGGTCATTGCAAAGGGAGACATGATAGACATCAATCAAAAATGGGGAAAATGGAGAAAAAACACCAGAAACAACTATTTTTTTAACTGGTAGACAGAGCTGATTCAGTCACTGTTATGTATCCAATGTGAAGTCATACATGAACAACCACTGTAAAACCTGTGATCATAATTGTCCAACAGCAGCGGATGTTTTATGTAAATCCGATGCATGGCTGAAGTGGTGCACTTTCACATGAAATAGGTTTTAGAAGTCAAATTTGTCGACTTAAGAATCTTGCTATTGTGAAAAATAGCAAGCTAAGGACAAATCAGCAGTTTTAACAAAATTGCGAGTATCAGAACAATAAAACTCAACACACAAGATAAATATAAGGATAACATATATGTATGATTAAATACTACAAATGTGTTCATGTTAAACAGCTTTCATAATGCTATAATTTATGTTTCACAATATGTATTGTGCTGTATATTAGTGGTAAAATGGTATCATTGCATCCCAACCAATGTATTTGTTGACTTTGTGTAGGATCCAAGAAGGCTGCAGGAATCCAGACATGTTTATCAGCTGTTGGTAACAAGCTAGAGGAACTACAAAGACTGAGGAAAGACAACACAGAACATGATGTGGCCGATCCAAACACCGATAAGTTAGTTGAAAACAAAAACACCTAATTTCTAAGCCTGTAAAGACTTGTTTGTACTCTCCACAAACTGTTAATGCAAACAAGATGTTGGTGCGAGACAATTCATTAAAGTTGAGCGTATTTTAAACCTAGTGAATTTCACTGTCAAATTCACTGTGCCCTTTACTTTGCGTTTACATTTGTGTGAAGTATGAACAGGTCTTAAGATGATCCATATCCCTGATTGTCATCACTATCATCACAGTCACCCTCCTCACCACAACTTGCATTGTTATATTATGTCTTTTCATACTGTTTCATTGGTCTAGAACAGCCATGTGTCAGTCCATAAAATTAACCGCTAACTTGATATACACTGAGTTGCATTTAAATTACCTCATATACACTGTGTTGCATATAGTTTGCCTCATATACACTATGCTGCATACATATTACCTCAGCGTTGCGAGCACATACTGCACGCGTAGGGCCTTCCCGCGCCGGGCACGCCCGTGCGTCCCGTGATTGAGAACTGCAATCGCTCCGTCTTATTTCCGGCACGAAAGATCACCGTTATCAAAAGTGATTTAATTTATTTCTGGCAAAGTAAGTGACAAACCTCGCCCCCTGTTGTATGCGCCCCTTGGGTGTTAAATAACGCCATATCCCACATCACAGCAGTCAACAATTGTCAATTATCACCATCATTATTACTAGTGCTTTAATCACCATTTCCATCATTGTCATGATATCCATTACATGTACAGCCATGTGATTGGAAAAGGCGATTTCTAAATGTAACCGATGAAATATTTGAAGCATATTTCAACCATATATTTTTTATAATCTCCTTTACTTTTCCTATCTCTTTTGAAAGTTTTATTAATGTTTTGTAACCCATTAGTCGGTACGTGGAAATGCTTTTTCACAAGTTTTGGATTGTTTTCATGTTTTCAAAGTATTGAAATTATTATTATCTTCATTGTTTTATGTACATTTTATATTGTGAGAAAATCTGTCCTTTAGCCCTGGGTGGGTCAGCCACACATTCCAGGTTTCTGGAAAAGTAATTACCTCCAGGCAGGAGGCCTGACTACACGTACCTCATTATTATTCATTAGACTCTAGCTTTTCTAGTTACTTTGTTTCATCACCCCCTTCTCTGTTTATTCATAATCCCTATAGGCCTTTTCACACTATCTCCGTTTCGAACCGTGTTGAAACCTACCCGGATCCAACCCGGTTCAGCCCGAGTATTTTTCGACACGGATCGGAGAGACGCGACGTTCACACTGTCCTTTACGGGAACGGCCGCTACGTGAACCGTGTAACGTTCAATCCGGCTACGGCCCACGTGTATTCACACTACAAATTCTCGACACGGATCGCATTCGGCACAGGGCGCTGCGATGATTTTCTCAATCCCATAATGCATTGCGACGCACACGGCTGCTGCGCGCACGAGGCTTCTGCGCGCACGAGGCTTACGGACAGGCCGGTGTTCAGCGTGAATTTACTACTCTGTGAAATACGGACTCATTGGTAGTATTGCGCATGCCTATTATGAGAAGGACCTGTCACGTGAAAGGGTTTGGCCAATAATAAGAGAGTAAAGCCTAAAGGAATCCGATTTGGGAGTCCGATTTGTGTACGACACCAGCGCAGCTGTGTGCAATATTTCCAAAATGGCTCCGGTCATTTCGTTAGACGATTCGTTCTATTTAACATTAGAAATGTACTTTTTTGGGGTACATTTTGCAGACCTAATACAAGCCCAGACTCGGTAAAGGATGCTCCATACACCGATACATTATTGGATGATAATTAGGGAGCAATTGTTTCGTGATCGGTGTTGTGACGGCGATAGTGGTGGAGGGAAATATTATGCACGGCGTGTCAGATTTTCGGTAAAATGTCGGCCTCAACTCAACACGGATCGGCCGTGAGTGACTCAACCCCGGGCGGTTCACACTGTCATTTTCGACACGGTTCAGGCCGAAAAATGCAATTTCGATCCGGGTTGAGATTTTCAACCCTGGTCCCTCCCAGGGTTGATTTCGATCCGGCTAGAGCACGCTACCCGGGTCGGAACCGGGTTGAAATGTTAGAAGTGGGAAAAGGGTTGAAAAAAATCTCGGGGTTGGAACCGGTTCCAACCCGGAGATTTTGGACAGTGTGAAAAGGCCTTATGTGGTCTGCCCAGGAATGTGAGGCACTGGCCAACATCCTGTGGTTCAGATAAGCTTGGTTCAGTCCTGTGTTAGCCACCAACGAGAGCACACACATGTTGTAAAGTCGTTTAATTTAAAGAAAGTTTTACAGCGCTGGCTGCGCTTTGCTGCCATGCGGCCAATGAGGAATAAAAACAGTATATTTTCCATCTAAACTTGAAGATCCTGTGTTCCCCTGGTCACATAAAGGTTACATAACACTTTATTTTGAATGAAACTACATGCACACAGACATGTTCATGTTAGCGAGCGAAATCTTTGAAAATTAATTTCTCCCATTTGGAAGACCGTATCTGCATGCAACTTTCAGGGTTATTTCCCTGTAATGATCCAAGTATGTGCTAAAAATCATTGTGATATGTTCATTACTTTTCGTTGATATTGGAAAACTAGGCCTGGCTACGTGCATTTTTGAAAGTTGTAACACTGGCGTTTGCAAGCTTCACGAATATTACCAAGGTTCTTATCCATTATGGTGTGCAGTAAAAATTTGGAGAAAAGACTGCTTCACGATTTGTTACTTGATAAATATCACCCTTTTTGCCGGCTTCCATTGGTCGATACCGAGACCAACGCCAAGTCACGCCGAGTGACGCTAATGAATATGCTAATATACCCCCTCATTGCTGAACAATGTAGTGGGTTGGGTGACAAAAAATCCTCGTCGAAATTTTCCTTGGAGTGTTTGCAACAACAGATTAAGCTTTAAGCTGAAATTCTGAATATACTAAGATGATATAAGTGTTCAACTACTCTTGAAATAACAACTTGGAGAAATTCCTAGAAATTGATATAAATACATAGATTTGGGGAAGTTTGCGAACAATTTCTTCCAGACTTGAAGGTCAGCTTTATCAGTAACCAGTGTTGACGTTTTGGCATTGATGACGGCGATTTTTCCACAAACATGAAGTTTACAATTTCTTTTTAGGTTATAATTTAACATTTTAATCATACTGAGCATATTTTCTGAGAAACACAACATTAAAAAAGGCCATGTTTTTTGGGGTGCATGAATTTCACTGCTCTGTCATAGCGTCTAAGTACCTAATCGGATTAGCTTTGCCTATCAACGGCAGACGCTTCGCCTTAGCAACCATATGGCTGTGTATGTCATTGCCATCTGACAGAATTGTCATGATCTTGGTGTCATAAATTGTTTATCAAATGACAAACCTTCCACTTCAGAATCTCTCATCCTCCATCTGAAAGGTTGTCTTAAAAAAGCTCATTTAAAAATATTTTTGACTCATCAGCTTTTCCTCATAACCAAGGATTCATTTATTCTTCCTCATAACTGTCTTGTGGTTCTCCTAACATTAAACTCAATATGAAGGTCATTTTATTACCAACATCAATCCGCCTTGTGCAGGAAATCCTACCACTCAGGAGTATATGCAAATGCAGAAATCTATTTATTATTTTTCTCATAAATACTGTGTGGATTAATCATGACATATTTAGCATAGCTATATCTAATATTTCATTATTCTTGTATCTTTCAGTTTTCTGTTTCAACAAGCGACTCAGATGACCCAAGATGTTCAGATAGCCATCGGGGGCCCAGCCTAGACAAATATCTCATCACTTGCATTTAAGCAAGTGTAGGTAGGCATTAACAAAATAAACATAATGCATGAAATCCAAACCATTCCATTTTTAGATTTTTTTGAAACAAGAAACCTTTTAATCTCTGGTTGTCATATGGCATTCCAGTTGGCAAGACACTGTTTTTTTTACAATGTAATATGAATAATGCTCAAGTTAGAAATATGGTTCTGGGTGCACATTTATTAGAGCAGCATTTAATCCTCATATACCAACACAGTTGAACAAAATATGCTGTAAATCAACTATATTGATTTTAAACAAGTACTTAAAAATTGGGCTATACCTTTTCCATAAGCTTGGTCCTCCGACTGGTGATAGGGTGCATCCCAGTGTCACATAATTGTACACAGATTTTACAATGTTTCTTACCATAAGAATCATTTATGGTATAATAGCTTTTGATTAACTTGCTGTATTAACATTTAAAACTTAAATTTCCTTTGTAAATTTCAAATATTTTCAAACATTACGTTTGCATGACTGTCTCAAATAGATACTTTTGACAAGCCTGGTACTGAAGAAATATAGCAGATGGATTGAGAAATCAGGCTCTTGTAGTGAAAATGTACCTTTCTTTTTGGATCTGGTGGGGCTGATCTTATTTGAGGAACTGGCCTGATTTAGAGGAGAATAAGTTTTGTAAATAGCTGCTCTTTGGATTAAGTAATTAATGATTGGAGTGGTCGTAAGAGTGGAATATCGCCACACATTTATTGGATAACCTCAATCAGCAGTCAGTATTGAATAGGAAAATGGACAAAATTCATAGTTGACATATCCTGGCAAGTTGAGTACTTCAAAGCTCATTGATTTTTATGGAAGTGTCACACTTAACTCAATTTCATTTGTTAAATGAAATTTAACACCTTTTATATGTAAACCCAAGAACTGGATCACTCTTTCAGATTGCTCATCTTAAACTGTCAGTTTACAAGGTCTAATTGTGTATTTTTTGTTTAAAATTCAAGCACCATATTGAAAAAAAGTAACAAAGTTGCATATGAGTTTCTATGCATTGGGATAAGATGTTTTGATATTTTGTATTGGTGATCAGCATTCCATGTAGTCTTTGCCCAAGACGTCAGTGCTTCAGAGCGATAGTTGCATATTTGTGTAGCACCCTTGCATAATTGTTTTTTACTTTCTTGCACTTACGTCTTGGTCATTTCGTAGCAAGGGGGCTGGGCCATTTTATGTCAATAAAACTGTCTGTATAAATTCGAACAAACCTGTTTATAGCTCCATGCTTACATTACATTATCATTCTATGCAGTGTGAACAGTTTAATAATTTAAATTAAATGTAATTTTTGAGAAGCAAATTTAATTTGACCGAACCAAGACTTCAAGTTGAGACCCTTGGAGTTTTGAGACTTATGATACAACCCAATATTTGATGCACCCTCAAATTTGACACAAGTGTATATATTAGAACAGCCAATGCCAACTGTGATTTTGATATCTTATTGGTTGCTATTCATCTAGCTTGGCTGTACTGCCTAGCTTGTAGTTTGAGTGGCCTATTTCTCCAGCACATTCATGCAGAACACAGTTAGCGCTGGCCAGTTTCAGATTCTTAACCCACCATCTGCCTTGGTTTTGAGGCGGTGTTCAAACCATGGTTAAGTTGGATGTCATTCATCATGGAACAGCAAGATCATTGAGAACACTTCACTATCCGAACTTGAAATGCGCACACATCGATGCACAGGCAAATACTTTCTCAGCTTCTTGGATTTCATGGGTTTAAAGATTGGACACAAGAGCAGGCTTGGTCGTAGAACATTAAATTGGGAGGGGCACTGCAGTAAGTTTTGAAAGGTCATCAATTTTTCCCAAAAATAGTTTGTTATATTTGAAATGTGTACGCTACTCTTTACTTACAATGGTCACTGGATTGTGTACTGCGCTAAGAAGATATCAGTGTGATGCAAACGATTCCATTGCCAATCTTGCACCCAAGCGATGGCTACCAGGGTGCAGGGTGTGAGCATACAAGGTACAAGCCAAATTAGTTGATTACAAGTACACCCAATCCTCCAAAACAGAAAAATCCCCAACTTTGTTTATTTAGCACCACCCAAAAAAATGGAGGGTAGGACATCTCTTTGTAGTTTATTGTGGTGTAAATATGCTCAATGGCATGGTCCAGTGGCCTTTAGCACCACACCTGTACAAAGTAAAGCTTGTACCCTTTACAAAGGAGCAAAGAGCTGTGGGCGTGATTATTTACACAGACCCAGATAACTAGGGTGGACTGCTCATACATTGTATATGGATAGGTGGTGACGTCAGAACCAAAGCATGAAATCAGTTCTGAAAAGTGTTTTGTTTGAAATCAACAATTTCGATGCAGCTGCATGTCTGTATGGGAAAGGGAACTTGTGTATGCTCTGGCATGGGTGAAGTTTGGGAAATTTTCTTTCAAATAAGTATAGGCCTATTTCAAGGAAAATTTCCCAAACTAATAGCCCAACTTCCCCAAAGTATATAACTAATAAAAACATTATTAAATATATAAAAAGAAAAATGTACAAGTTGCCTGGGTAACAATGCCAAAATTCTGAAGACTGGATTTGATGATTGGATTAATCTTGTTGATGGCGCCCTCTATTGCCGCAGTGACTTCAATGCACTTTTTAGGGATTGGGGCCAGCTTTATATAGGGAATAAAATCCAACTCCAGCTTGGATCAAGACTTTTATTTAAAGGGAATATACAACATTTGCAAACATCGAAAAATAAAACTACCAAGTTTTTGCGAAATACCTTAATAGGATGTTGGTAAATGACAGTCTAAAGCATCCTGTAAAATTATGGCACCTGGTATACTGTCATTTTCAAGAAAAGTGGTATTTTTGTATCAATTTCCAACGCTGATCGGCCGATCAGCGTTGGAAATTGATACAAAACAACAACTGGCTTTTTTTCAAATACTGGCCCCAATTGACCATTGCACTTGTTTACAATCGATTACAAACCCATGAACGGGTACGAGCCAGCTAGACTGGTTCCCTGACCTTACAATTCCCCAATGTATGTTAACTGCTCTGTTTCTTCTTATATGGAGTCAGGGAACCAGACTACAGAAAAATGATCGTTTTTCTTGGTTTTTATAGCATTTTCGAACCCAAAACCTCCAAAAAGTCAGTGTAACTATATTTGCTTTATATTTCCAACCCCCCAATTCCATCCATATCTGAAAATTACAGCAAAAGCAAATGATGTATATTCCCTTTAAAGTTGCCAATGTGAAGGTACAGTACACTAAAACAGCAATTTCCCAAGTTCATTTTACTTATAACGAAGTTTAAATGTCATGCTTTGTGCTCTGAAAAACATACAAATGTTAATGATATCTACTTTAGATAAAGTATTGAGCCTGGGCTTTTAACGTGGTAACGTCATCCCTACTTCAAAACCCTCTAGCATAGGCAACTATCAACATGATTAGAAAATTAATACGATTATGACGCACATTTCCAGTATAATTACACAAATTGTAATAAAGTGTAGTCATACATTGGGCCATAAAACCAATAACGGATGGAAATACAGGATTTTGCTTTTACTAAATTTAGGAAGCTGGAATTCTTGTAAAGTGTATGTTTATATAAAAAAAAATATGTAGCTACATGTACTACTAAGATTGACAGCGGACCTCTTGAATTATGATCAGTCTTATTTATTGAGCGATATCACGCCCACGATCCAAACAAATCCGGCGCCAATGTGGGTGGAAAGAAGGTCAAGAGTGATTTTTTTTTAATCTCAAACTGAAGTGTTTATTTCCGGTAAATAAAACAGTTTTTGGGTGTACAGAGCAAAGAGCAGTGCTCATATATAGTTGTTTGCTTAGGCCAAGTAACAAAAATCACCAGTTTCCTTTTAATTTTTTTTTTTTATCAATCATTTGCAATATGCCCGGCCAATTACACCAAGTTTTCATTCAATTTAACTTCTGGCTCATTCAATTTAGATTGAAATTGAAACATCACGCAGATCGTCATTCGACAATAAAAAAGAATCATTCAATTTCACTATCCGATCATTATATCGTATTTTAGCTTCACACGTCCGGCCCTGTTAAAGATGCATTCAAATTCAAAGTATCGTGTTGTTCATTCAATTTCGTCTGAACCAGCAGTATTGATCAGGCATTCGTTTTCATTAATGGGCAAACATATTTCACATGTTGTCAAACATCTTATAAGACTTCCTGCATGTCCGTATTCCTATATCTTAGCGTTAATCATATCTGACGTCTTCAATCCGTAGATGCACACCTTTCTTTCCTAAATAAAGGGTATGTGCGATTAACTTTTCTTAGGAACACATACTGTGCAACTTTCTACTCCTCTTAAATGTATGAAAACTTTATATTTGGCATCTTTTTTGTTTGTTAATCTTTTTGTAAAGTGCACTTCTTTAACATTTAAATGTGTCCATGCTTTTCCGGACAACTGAGCGCGCTGTCGCTGTGATGTCACTTCAGGAAGACACTGTTCAGTATGGGGGTTTTCTGCTCAAATTGTGAACCCAAAATGTTCTTATTGAAAACATTTGTGAGAAAGGGTTGCTCATTCGCTTGCGCTTACTGCCATGTTCCGTTGCACAAAAACGAAAGAAAATAAATTACGACAGCAAAATATCCAAACTTCTAGCAACTATTTGTGTGCTGAAATAGCCGTGTAACATTGAGGTCTCTGCTCACAGTTTTACTCATGAATATGAAACATTGCATTAGCTAGACGAGAAGGAACACAAAATACCCTTCAAAATGGACAAATAAAACTTGAAAATAAGGTTAAAGGGGACACAAAGATACATTTTCAAGGTTTAAAGAAGTGTCCAAACAGATATAAAGAGGAACGAATTTTAAGGAGTGGCGATGTAATCGTCTGATGAAAGTGGCCCAAGTTTCCCAACAGTTGGGAAATCACCCCCGAGCCAAGACTAGAGAAATGTCCCCGATGGTACAACCATTACCAAACGTACATTCCCCGATGTCTTGCACGTCACGAGATGGATAGGTCAATCAGCGATGAATAAAAAAAGTACAAAAACAGAACGAAAAGAAACAGAATAATTAACATATCAACATAAAGATGCCTGCTATACATTTTCAATCTTTTAAATAAGTAGAAAAGATCATCAACAGTAAAGAAAAAAATACTTAGCCCATTTCATTTACTTTTTAATTTTTCGTTACATCATTTAATCCTCATATCAGTTAATTTGTTACATATGAATTTTACAATCACAATTACAAAGAACCTCCGAGGAAAAGAGGAATATGTTTAAAATAAAAATATCATATCAATTTGAATGACCAAACGATGAAAATTATTGCCCATAAACGAATAAGAAAAGAACAGCATGAATACGTCATATGTGCACCGACGTTCGCTAAGTTGAATGCGTCAACCGTCAAAAGATGTCAACAACTTAATTTAAGAATGCCACGAATTAAGTATGGAACGCACCAAAACGAAATAGAATGCCCCAAAACGTACGAATACGAACCTTGGGAACAAAATATTGGGTTCCTAAAAATTGATATTGAATGCACCAACGATGAAAAAGAAATCCCAATTTGACCAGACCTGTAAATTCACGCGAAATTGAATGGCTGATAATGAAAATGATCAGAAAAATTCGGAAATTGGCCGGGAAAACCTATATTTAGGTGTTTTTTTGTTTTGTTTTAATTTTCTTCGAGCAAAATTGAAGCTATGTATGCAAGTTCAGAATCTGTTTCAATGCGTACGTCCGCAAAAGAGTCGAGAACTATGCAAGAATCATCTCGGAAAATCCGCCGTCTTGAAAAAAGAAAAGGGAAAAAAAGGGGGCCTCCTCACTTTTTTTTTCAAAAAGCCCAGAAGAAAAACTTTTAATTTGTACTTGGCCTTTTTTGCTAATAGTTGTTTGCGCTTTAATATACTTGTAAATGACCATGGTTTGTTGTCACTGTTCCCAAGTAATGCTTGTATTTATTTACTTAATTTAGGCTTTCCTGGCCAATTCTAACATTCGTGTTACTTTTTTTGTGATTCAAGCCAATTTCCGATATCCGATATAATTAAACTTAAATAGGAAGTGAAGTCCCTTTTTTGCTTTTATTAAAAGTGGGAACGTTGCTCAAGAGGCGGCTGGGGCGAGGTTGCGATAAAACAAGATTGACAATCTTTTTAATGCTGTTATATTTAGAATTTTACCGAAGTTTCTATTAATACCGACGTTTCTATTAACACTGACTCTGTTATATATTGCCCATCGATACCTTATAATGACTTGCAAGAAAAATAACAAAGGAGGCGCCCAATATTACCACAACCACAACCATGTTGGACTGGTTTCCAGGAATGTCGGACACTTCGCCCCATTTCCACGTCGCCCCATGTCACTTCGCCCCTAACCACTTCGCCCCATCCCACATCGCCCCATCCCCACTTCGCCCCATTCCCACTTCGCCCCATTATCACTTCGCCCCATCCCCAATTCGCCCCATCCCCACTTCGCCCCAGCTGTTACATGTAAAAAAAAAAATCTCATCTATTTTATTGGCTTAAAAACAATTCCAACAGATTCACTAATTGCTAACCAACGGAAAGAATTAGCCCACCAAATGAACAATTCATAACCAACCTCTCTCAAGCTATCGATCTCCCCTACCGAGAAAAAAAAGCTTGAAGTAAAAGATCCAACTTTGTTTCCAACCCGCTATACCAACCCGTCTCCCACTTATCTGAGAACGACAATATCTTTGACATCCTAATTTCACTCTTGGAGGAACAATCTACATCTAGGGCGAAGTGGGGATGGGGCGAAGTGGGGATGGGGCGAAGCGGGGATGGGGCGAAGTGGGGATGGGGCGAAGCGGGGATGGGGCGATGTGGGGATGGGGCGATGTGGGGATGGGGCGAAGTGGTTAGGGGCGAAGTGACATGGGGCGACGTGGAAATGGGGCGAAGCGTCCGACACCCGTTTCCAGGTATCTTGATATCGGCCGACTTTGGATGTATTTTTCCTTTAAAAGAGGCGGGAACTAGTCTACGCGGATTGTAGGGGAAACCCCCATGCATCAGCGGAGAATGGTCCATTTTAAAATAGGGTGATACATGTTACGATTTGAGGTCGCTGTCACTTTTTTTTTTCAAGTGTAAAGATTTCAAACAAAGTTAAATTGTGATAATTTCCTATCAAATATTTTAGAATGAGTCTTTATAGACATATTGTTATTTGTATTTTACCTCTCTGAAGCCTGCGGATTAAAAAAGAAAAAAAGAAGAAGGTGCAACCCATGGCGCAAGATTGGTATGGTCTACACACGTGCATGTACGCGTCCTGCGTCATCGTGTCATGCATTGTGCAAACTTTCAACTCCAGAACTAGATAGATATCACCCGATATAGTTATAGATGCAGAGAGATGACGTAGACTTGGAAGTGACTGTACACATCGATGGTGCACGTCCCGTATCGACAATTTGACACGCCTGAAAGGACCTTTATACCATTGTTATTGTCCACCCATTTGTGTTGAGAATCGAACGAGTGTTGTGTGGTAAATATTTTGAATAGTTATGTCGGAGTCTACATTTTCTACGAAGTGTGACCGAGAGGCCACGGCGTGTTTGTATCCGGGTCAGGGGCTGGGCGGGAATCAAAGCGACAATGGTACGGGTACTGCTGGTGGTAGTCAAGTGGTTGCAAGTGTTGACAGTGGTACACATAAAACTGACGGGAGAGAATTAACAGCAACACTCTGTAGAACTGAACCAACAGCCTGCCTGTTCCCACACTCCGGATCCGACTCCCAATCGAATGAGCCCGGGTCTCTGGGCGCTGTATCAGCTACGTGTGCTACAACTTCGAGGACGACCACAACAATGAGCAGCAGTATTGGCGATGGTTACTCACCGCACGTGTACAGACACACAATGTGTGGGTTGCAGGTAGAAATGCCTTCATATGGATCTTCAAACAATGAGTGTGAGTTGGAGAAGGTTCCTGCTAAGGCACTCAATGTACCCACACGGACTCGCCTATCACTCATGTTGAACCCTCCCAAAGTCCTACATAATGACTGGACCGGGTTAGCTGGAGAAATGGGATTTGAGTACGAGGAGATTGAAAACTTTGCCCTGGAGAAAGATCCCATGAAGATAGTTCTTTCAGCCTGGACATGCAGACCGGATAGCACCATTGGAGCACTGTTGGAGATGTTAAGCACCATCAACAGGGATGATGTGCTGAATGATATTCGGAAATTAGTAGGTACGTATAATGCTACAGGTCAGAACCAATTCTCTGTTGATTGGTAGTTAACACTACAATGTTATTATTGTTGTGTTCAGTGTTCTCATTTATTGCCTTTGTAATCATACTTGATACTTGATACAGTAATCCGTTTTTACAGCTCCTCTTGAGCTGAACTAGGATATTGGTTGGTGCAGAAATGGCATCTCCAGCCACGGGGTGCAAGAAAAAAGAAAACCAGTACAGCAGACTAAGACTGTGATGATTAATACTACTATCATCATTATCATCATCATCATCATTATCATTCTTAGATGCTCCTTGAATGACATTCTATACAGTTCTTGAATACAATCAAAGTGTACTAACTAACCCAAGAGAGTTTTGAAATGGTTAAAAAAAGAGAGTACTTTTTCTGTTTCTCGACATGTGGAAAATACATCTGAATCTGAATGGTATAGCGGGCAAAGCATCCATCAATCAGGAAACATCACACCAACTTGTTGGTTAGTTTGGGGCGTGAAACAACGGGCGTGGAGCAGGACGTGTCTTCAAAATCATCACATTCACAGTTTTTCTGTAAATTTATGCCTGCAAGAACCTGAAACTTTGTGCAATCACAAACTAAATTCAAAGGTGTGGTGTATTAATTTATGTTGGTTGGTTTCCAGTATGCTAAGAACGTTACTGCATACATGTACAAGCATTTGCAGTATATGTACTCTCACCTTTCCGTCTCCATCAAAATCCACCCCCCCCCCCCCCCCTTTTTGTGGATTTTGAGGACTTAGTGTTGCTGGCCTGGTTTGACTAAATTGTGATGGAGTATGATGGACTTGGGCCTGGAGGCCTGAAGTAATGCTAGAGGAATCTGATTGATTTTGCCTACCATCCAGTACTGCTGTCATATAAGCCATGTGTACTGTCCATCAAAATCCACCAGTACTTCAGTGGTGGATTCCATTATGTCATGTAATGATGTATTGGAAGTAGAGTGAGTGATGGATTTTGGCGGACTTGGTCCTCTACTTAGTAAAGGGCAGTTAGGTTGAGAGTAATATAAAAATGGGTTGTAACTTACACTTAGACTTACACTTACATTTTGTTTGATGGGCAATTATCAGGCTTAAGCCTTTTAAGACCCCATATCCTTGTTCCTTCCAAAACTTATCCAGCTGCGTCTTGAATTAGTTTGTGATCTTAGCTTCTATGACGCTTGATGGGAGACTATTCTACTCTGTGCTCACTCTGACTGAGGAAAAATATTTCTACAGCCTGTGACCTCCGCCTCTGTCAGTGTGTGGATTGGTTGAGAAGAGCTTGGACTTCTCTATACTTTCTAATCCTTTTATAATCTTGAAGGTCTCTATCAGGTCCCCTCTTGTGCTCCTCTGCTCTAGACTGTATAGCTTTGTTTCTTGCAAGCTTTCTGGGTAGCTCAGATGTTTGATGCCTGGGATGAGTTTTGTGGCTCTTCGTTGAACTGTTTCTAACATAACGGTATCTTTCTATGGACACCAGGCTTAGATGGAATATTCCAGATGGGGACGGATGTAAGTTTTGTATCATTGTGAAGCATTTCTTGTCAAAGTGCTTGAATGTGCACTTTATGATTCATTGCCTTATTTGCTGCTGCTGCACATTGTCTGCTAGTCTTCCCATCATCAGTGATATCTTTCTTAAGGTATGGACACCAGGCATGGACAGAATATTCCAGATGGGGACGGATGTAAGTTTTGTAGAGCACTGTGAAGCATTTCTTTTCATAGTGCTTGAAGGTGCGCTTTATGATTCTGAGTTTAGTCATGGCCTTATTTGCTGCTGCTGCACATTGTCTGCTAGTCTTCCCATCTTCAGTGATTATAACTCCCAGATCCTTTTCCTCAATGTCGTGTGGGATTACCTCTCCGTCAAGATTGTATTCAGTTTCCTGATGGGTGTTTCCCATGTGCATCCTTTTACACTTAGTGGCACTGAAGCTGAGTAGCCATGTCTCAGACCACTTTTGGAGCGAGCAAGGTCTTGTTGCATTTTCACTTGGTCATCATCTCCCTCCCCTCATCTGTCTGTAAACTTTGGTATCATCCACAAACATCTTGACTTGTCAGCCCTGTGGTCATGCATTACTCTGATGTTGCCAGTTACATGTATTAAGCTTGGGTAGTGCATGAAATTTGCATTGAGCATGGGCTAGATGTGCATCAGACTGAGACCTGGAGTGCTCTGAAAAGTGTAAAACTAAATCAGGCCAACTCACCCTTTTGCTAGCAAATTTCTCCAAAATTTTAATTGGGCAAAGAAAAGATCCTCAGTATTTCACCAACCAAGTTTGGAGACTCATTTCAATTTTTCAAGGAGATATTTCTTTAATGGAAATCAAGTGATTTCCAAATGAGGCTACTAAACTGGTACATGTCCAACCATGGTACAACTGTTTGAAAAGATTGACCTCTTTAGTCAGTGTCATCTGTCTGGTGACTGACTACGGAGAAATGTGTAGTAAATACAGACTACATGTTGTAGTTCCTAACTTGCCACGTTTCTTTTGGCACAGTTGATTGATACAGTACTGAAGCAGTGTTGGACTGGCTGTTTCAGGTGCCAGTCTATTTTCTTGTATTGCATGTTTTCAATACCGTTTTGGGACTCTTATACACAGTATTGAGAGTCCCAAATTTTTCGGACTAGACATGCGGCAAGTATGACATGCACAGTAATTGTGCCTGGTCAAGCTTGACTGAATTTGGACGGTTGAAAAAAGTGTCTCTGAAATGAAGTGAAAATATCTGTTTTCTTATGAGAAAGTTTGGATAGCGGTATCTTTAAAGACACAACACAGTTCTGTTGGTGTTGTTGCTTGAACTGGGAAACAGTTCAAAATTGTTCATTAGTTTCAAGAGATAGCATAGTTTAACATTCTTCTAACAAGTTTATATAGATGTACATTTGTCCTATGAGTATTTGAATTTATTTCTATCATTATTTTTAGAGCGAGATGCTAGTCGATGGGTGGAGAGACGCAAAGGAGACGTCAATGGACAACCAGTTCAAGTCCCAGAAGGTAAGATAGTCCTCAGCATAAAACCCTTGAATATCATTTCTGTAGTCACTCATGTGTTATATTAAAAAGTTAAGAGAATTGTTTATTGTCAAAATACAAATTAAGGGACTTAGATTTGACACTAATTTGTGTAATATTTGGTTTTGCAGTGAGTGAAAGCTACCCAAATGTTCCTGAGACACCAGAGCTGCGTGGGATTACATTGGAGGATCATCCATCAGGTGGGTGTCATGGCACATGCATGTACATGTACATGTACATGTAGATTGTGTTGTCTTTTCGATCCAAAGTGATTTTTGTTCTTGGGCATGACATGCATGTAGGCCTGCAGCAAAAATAATTTCGGAAAAAAATGTTGCAACCTGACGCCCTTGACTCTCCATAGACTTTGTACACAACCGCTGGAGTGGCGCCAGGTTGCAACATTTTTTCCGTAATTTCTTAGCAGTGGTTTGTAGTTTCTGCTGGGGTTGATTTGGTTATTACAACTGAAATGCACACCATGTAAGATGGGGCCATTGATTACAGGCATCTTGTTCCATGCAAACTCCAAATAGATAATGACAAGCAAATTGTAATACCAGCGTGTGATGTTCTAAGGAATTTCCATAAATTGTCAGAAAACTGTACCTCATTCTTCCTGGCATTTCTTTTAGCTTAAATAGAGCATTTAGTTGCATCTAAATTGCCTGTAAAAGTTGGCCGGAAGTCAATTGATATGGCTTCAGTTCCCATAGTCAGTATAGATTCAGAAATACTTACATTCACCACCAAGAACAATTTAAACAGGGGAAATAAGATCTTACCCTGAATCTTGCACACAATTCCCTGTAGGATTCATAGATCAAATTTTGTCTCTTTTCTTCTAACCAGTTGCCCCTTGAATTCAAGTTCTGGTGGCTAGTTGTATTTTGAAAATATAATGTCTAAAAACTGTATGAAGCTATGCATGACAAAATCATTGAAACTGCACATGCCTTTCCTAGAAAGTTTGTGTTTTTGAAAGTCTCCGTCACTACCTGTTGCTATGTAAACCAATTCAATGGTTTATTTTTATACAGGCCTTCTTTATTCCATACAAAGGGTTCACCCAGGTGGTGTTATATTTTATTTCAAAAGAACGTTTCAACTTAGCTCACAACTTTTGTCCTGCCAATAACCATAACAATCACTGCACAAACGCTTTGTGTGGATTTGTATAAGTTGTGCGCAGGTTCAGTATTGCCGCAAGCAAAAACTACTTTGAAACGAAAGCAACTTTTTGTGTGTGCTGGGATTGTGTACTGAATATAACATCGGCATGCAGGCTTCATCCATGCCCATAAATGGTAACTCAGAGTGGTTGTCAACTATGCATGCATTATTCCTGAATAACAAACACACACATTTCATGGGAAGTGTTGTAAACTGTATACAGTTAACTGGTTTTTAACATGTCATTTGATATTGGAAAAGAAATGCATACAGACAAATACCTATGATAATATAATTTGCTTTTCTTGATATAGTGTTTCACTTTGAAAATCTCAAAATGCTTTACAAAACGTCACCACATAAAAAGTATTTAACCAGTTAATTAAGAAGTATTTGAAAAATACTACCTTTTAAAAAGAGATTCTTAACCTGTGATTTAAAAATTCCCAATTCATTAACACATGTATTTCTCAAACAAGGCAAAGATGGTGAGAATTTGGGAATTCTTACCCAAAAAAGGACCATAATGTGTACTGTTATTAGCAAATATATGAAAATGCAACTTTTAAATATGTACAATCACAACTGTATTCACATAAAATAGCATAGGCCTACTACTCATACAACAATAACAATTAAATGTAATGACAAGTTACATGAAAAGTTCTTGGTAATTGTGAAATTTGTGGAGGTACGTGAAGGTGTGGTTTTTCAGAGAAGCATGCCCATGTATGGATAAAGGAAACCTGTGTAGCTGCACGTACATCCTGAGCAACAACACTGAACTCAAATATTACATGTACATGTACATGTACACTGTACATGTACACTGTACATGCGTACACTGTCACTGCGTCCCATAAGTATATCATAACGGAACTTGTGTACATGTGATTTCTTGCGCTGTGGTAAAGGAAATGATGTCACAATCACATTTAAAGGTACTCTATTGAAAAGAATCTGTGTGTCAAATGGCAAAATGGGACACACTTTTTTAGATATAAGGTGAAAAATACAAATATTGTTATTTTATTAGAAAACACGGCGCAGACTTGATCTCACACTGGAACTCAGTCCAACTGACATAAATATGCAACACGTGAATATTACACAAAATTGGTCAGTGTTGAAATTGATATGTTTGATATCCCCACGACCGGAGAAACAGGGTAATGACATGTTCTGTCTCTTTCTGTCTTGATGTATATACAGGCCCTCCTGAGGTGTTTGATGCCTATGTCTGCTTCACCTATGCTGACAGTGAGTTTGTGAAGGAAATGATGGCCGTCCTTGAGAAAGAACCATACAACTTAAAACTGTGTATTGATTTCAGGGACCTGGTACCTGGAGGATCCTACTCAACCATCACAGCTGAACTCATTGAAAACAGGTACATTTGGAGTGAAATAATAATAAGTTGTTTTATGATGGTGGTTTCATAGAAAAGATGATTGATGCCCTGTTTGGTGATGTGGCATTGTGGCTAGTGGCCACAGAAATGTAGTATGGGAATCCCCTCTTATTACCAAAGTTGTTTTTAAAGTTCATGCGCAAGAAAAATATGTCATGAGTCAGAATACCTACAGACTATGTTTAGTTTGTGCACCCCTTGCACGGACATATTCACATATACTTTATAGGCACTTTATACTTAATTCATTTGATCATGTAGGTCTGAACACAATATCAATCATGTTGGCACTTTTGAAAATATTGTCCATAACTTGACATGACATGAGGTATACCCCCTTCTTTTGCGTCTTTTCATGAAAGACATTCACCACTTAAATTGATATGAACATTTACAGCTGTTGTTTAATAAATTCTACTCCATTAGATAAATTCTTTTGGCACTGCATACGGGATTGGCCGACTAGTCTGCTTTGTCAGCCAATTGTTGAAACTCTCTGTGCTGACTGGGCAACTTGTTCTTATACTCTCCCTTCTCCATGCATGTAGATGTAAGCGCATGATCATCGTGCTGTCACCAGATTTCTTGACGAGTGAGGACTGCAACTTTCAGACCAAGTTTGCTCATAGCATTGCCCCAAGTAAGTCATTCCAAAAAGAAATGGTTTGGGTGGATAGCAGTATAAGATAGGTACTGTATTTTGCAGATCCAATAACTTTTAAGTGGTACATGTATGCGTCAGACTGAGTGCTTTTAAATCTAACTGATTTTTGTTGACATTCTTGTGAAAAAGTCTACAATCCCGTGAGATTGTGTGGCGTTTTCCTTTTTTGGGTGAGGCAATTTCCAAAAACTTCCCAAGGAGTTATGAACCAGGCTGTTGACCAGGTTTAATCATTTCATTGAAGCTAATAATAATACTTCATATGACTTTATGCATTATTGTCATTGATTTTTTTTGGTATAAATAATTGTTTACAGAGCGCAAAATTAGCTGTTAATTAGTAATTATCTGGATGTTAATTTCTGTATTTTAAAAATTTTGGCGGTATAAAAAATCATTAAGTAGTTTGTAGTACACACAAATCAGGAGCATTGTCTAAACATGGACAGCAAAATAGGATTCAAATGAAAAAGCTTATCCCCCTAAACAACTGCATTGTATTTCACAACCTTCAATTGCCAATGGTCTTTTAAAATTATTTGTTTTCTTGGTGTGTGTGTGTGTGTGTAGGTGCACGAAGCAAGCGTCTGATCCCAGTAATGGTGGAGAACTGTAAACTACCCAACATCCTGCGCCATTTGACAATCTGTGATTACACCAAGAAGGACCTGAGACAGTGGTTCTGGCCCAGATTGCATGGCGCCCTCACTAAAAAGTAGGCGTCTGTAGGTATCTCACTTTGCCCAGAGCGTGCCTTTAGGACTAGTCTATAAGGGCATATTGTACATCAACTTGTAAATACATGTATTTGTAAATGAAAAATCATGACAATGTGTTCTTTTGTTTTAAGAATTGCTTGACAATTAACCAGCTTTCTCAGTTGTAAACATGAAGTTTTTATTTGTTTGAAGTGTGACATATCAAAGTACATGTGTATGTATTTCATACAAATTGCAAATACTGTTGTTCAAAGCATGATGTGTCACCTTTTATAGAATTTAAGAATTGTGGACAAATTATGGCAGACATTTTCCATGCAAGAACAGTAGATGGTGGTTTTTGACCATATTCCATAGAAATATGATCCAGTTATAGTATAATAATTTATTGTTTAATGTCTTTTGTTTACCTTTAGGTACATATGAACAGAAACGCAACTAACAAGACAAATAAATGCTTAACCCCTGTGTCAAACCCAATTATTTGCCAACCCCATTTTGCTTTTCCTGTTTGTAATATGGTACTTTAGGTAATGGTCTTTTTGTCAAAGTACTTGTGATATGCAAATTTTAACTTAATCTTTACCACTGCGGTTACTGTGGTAACGTTAGGTTGATTTACATGCACTCAGTGCATTGCATTGTAATATTCCCACAAAAGAAGAATAGTATGAACTATAAAAGTGATGGTCAAACCAAAACTATAGAGGGCAACGTGGCTGTATAAAATTTACCAACATAAACATACTTGTACAACTATTTCATATATTTATATGATGGAATGCCTCCAACTTTCTAACATCCTGTACAGTTTACTTTCTAACATCCTGTACAGTTTACTTCCTATGGCATTGGTTATATATTCATGTACAACATTGCAAGTTAGAAATTTGTATCTTTTTTGGTGTGTGTGTGTGTGTGTGGGGGGGGGGGGGGGTGTCATTCAATGTTTACCTTGGATCCAGTTGGTTGCAGTTTTGTAAGCCACCCACACAATGGCCTGAATTGCACCCACCCACACAGGCATATAAGAAGTTTAGGGACTGTCCCCAGTATTACCTGCATATTTAGATTATGAGTCATGAATGAAAGTGAACTGATACAAAACACATTGATTGTTGCATTAGGGACTGCCCCTGCACAACACCAGCTACATGAAAGGGCAAGATTCCATACAAACATGTTGACATCTAATTTCACTTTGCCCAGAATACATGTACTTAAAAAAGATACTGAAATAACTTAATCAATGGTAAGCTATGCTTCAGCAGAACTTGTAAGCTTTCAATTACATACTTTTCGTTTACGTACTTTCAACAGTTTTAGAGACATTTTTTGGGTCCAGAATTTACTCAACCATCAGGTTATATCAGTGTTGGTTCTTTTACAGTTTCTTATAAAAGGCAACCCTTTTTAAAAACTCAATCAGGTATAATTTTTATATTAATTCCTACATGTACAGTTTACGGCATTTTAGCTCTCTTTATGGGCTTGATTGTCTTATGGTAGCTTTTGAAGGGATACAATTAACAGCGTTTCTGAATTTGAGATTTGACACGGAATATAATATGCTGCGGTGTTTTGGTTATCTATTTTGGTCGTGCGTATAATGCAAGAAAATACATAGGAGTGGGTTAAGACAGTGTTGCTGCATACATTTGCTCACAAACTTTCACATCCACTTTCACAATACAGTGTTTAGCATATGGGCCTACATTTAGTGAATCATCTGTTGCTCTTAAAGGGATGTCATTTGTTCATTATATTCTTTTTGTGTGAGTTGTGATAAAGTACTTTTTTTTTTTAAACTTGATCGGCCTTTATAATGTAGATTTAACATGCATGTCTTCTTGGAAGCAAATGTCTAAATGCATCATGGTAAAGGGCCAATGAAATGAGTTATGTTATTGTGACATATTAGCTCATGCTCTGTAAGTCTAGTGATTAAAGGTGTGTACTGAAATGACTGACTGCATTATTTGGCAAAGAATTATGCATCAATGTTAAATTACATGCATTAACAGATTAAGTATGTAAAGGCTTATGATGGTTTTAAAAAAGGCAAGGTAAATAATATATATTGTTATATTGGTGAGTTGCATGTTAGATGCACCTTATCTGCCTTTGTTCATGACAGGAACTGTATAAAAGATCTATCTATTCTTTTGTAATAAAAAAATCACAATGTCATAAAGTCAGTCTCTTTAGTATTCTATTTTATTCTTTTGTTTAACAATTGCATTTGAATGGATAGATATTCCTCTCTTTTTTGTCTCGGCTGGACTTTGTGGAGGAAAGAAGACTATGCAATCACTATGTATGCATGTGGTATTTTGGTTAAAGTTTCGTAACATTGGTCTCAGTTCAAAAGTTGAAGTCCAATTGGAACCAAACTCGGGTCATAGGGGCAACATGCATGGGAACCTTCACATGAGGTCAAAGGTCACACACCAAAGTCAGAGGTCACTCTTTAAAGATAATCGCAAAAGCAGGCGAGACGCGCTGTTCCAGAACCACCTTGTTAGCCATTGTATGTACTCGCAAAATCATTCTGATATATGATATAACTTGGCCCAATAAGATCCAAATGGTCTTTCACCACAAAGTATGCTATGAGGGTTCCCCATAACACTGCAGCAAAATGACTCGTGGCATTCACCATCACAAAAATAAACAACTGACTCATCAACCAGGTCATGACTCGGCAAATACATGTACCTTTTTTATTTCCTGTTGGGCGTATCACACAGACACTTAATCACGTCGTGATGGGATGCTCTAAACTTGGAAAATATCCAACTTCCCAGGACCAGGCATGCAACTGGGAAGTCACAAAAAAGGGGAAATTCAAGTCTTTCCAAGACTTTGTACAGTGTTTTTCTATTTTCAACGGCACACATGGGAAGTAAAAACAAGGAAATCAGCCGATCTGAGGAAAAGTTGCATGCCTGCAGGACATTCATGGAAATGTTCCTAAATATATGATATGATCACAACACCTTGCAAGTATTCAGGATACACTGAACAAAATAGTAATGACTAATGAAAATTGTCCATACTAGGCCGATATCTCTTTCTTTAGGTCTTTAGGTAACTTTGTTAGGATATAAACATTGAAATGTATATATAAAAGATTTAATAATTTCCCTTTTTTTTTCTCAACACCTGAAATGCACCAGGCTGTTTAAATGATTGTTTGCATTCTGTGGCTGTGCTACGTTAAGGCGCATACAAAGGACAATGCAATGTAAAAGGAATCTAATGTCTGGAACAAGTGAAGTGTGTCTTCTACAAACATTCTGCCGCATTGATTTATCATTTCAAGATCTGAAGTAAAACAAATGGGTCCATATCAAATGCTGACACAAATCAGTACTACATTGTGGATTTTTAAGCACTTTTTGCATTGATTACCATGGACTCTGCATGGACATTAGACATCAATCACAAAGAGCTCTCGTGGGAGGGACATGCTGTCTATTCACACTGGTCTGTGCTCATATGGGTGTCAGTATGCATAATTCAACTGATTCTGAATGCACACAAACCTATGGCATCTTCACATGAGTGTCAGGCATCATCAGCAATGCAGTGGTCCCCCCATGTTTCTCTTTGGAAGCATTGCTGGGGTACTTGTGTACTGAATTAATAGCATCAAATTGATCTCACTGAAAGCTTTTGAATGATGAAATCGCTGTAACCTGCATTACATAATTCCTTTTGAAACAAAATTGTTGTCTATCCAGCAACTTCACCAATCCAAACTCCTCAGGAAACCATTAGTGTTGCCCAAGTCTGAAAGTTACTATTACCCTCATTTTTGCCATGACAATAATCAATTTGACTTATGTTCAAGTTGGGATTTGTTATTGAAGTTTGTTGTAAAAATCATCCATTGTTTATAGCTGGCTGGAATCAGAGGTTTTGACCCTTTCCAACTGGCATTTGTCCAAGGGAATAGTGTTGAGGGTGAAATATCTTCTTCTGTTTCATTTTCTGTGCCTTATTTTTCAAAACTTCCATGCTAACTGGCCCAATTGGTTTTTGTTAATATTACTTTAAATTAAGAAGTTTAGTCATCTGCCTAGCCAAAAAGGATAAAATTTGAATGAATTACATTTAATACCTAGTTTAATAGGCACACCCATTTGCTCAATTCCATTTTCCTTGACCCATTTAGTTTACAAAAAAAAACACATCTGGAATTTAGAATCTTTTTTTCTAATGTAATATGAGTCGAAATACGGAATAATTCTTTTCCAATTGCTAAATATCTTGGAATTTTACAAGTGACATTCGGTCCAACAATCCACACCCTAAATACATATGTACATGTATAACCACACCAAAAACAAGCAAGTTTTGCTCCAATGCGTTACTCAACTCGGAGGACTGTGAAACAGTGACAATCATGTCTTTTGCTTTCATTTCCATAAAAATATGCAGTGTTTCTGCTCATGGTCATTCATTTCAAGCATTCAATAAAAGCTATTTCCAAAAGCAGCACAAAATCATAAAATGAAAGTGAACCATTTCACATATTGTTACATTTCATAACCCATTTGGATCTGTACAACACAACCACACATGGTTTCCAGTTGCTGGATGCATTTCAAAATGAATACAGGTGTCAGTTTGCTCTTTACCCTCTTTTCAAAATCAAAACTTCTTCACAAATTTTTCCTTTTTTAGTGTAAACATCTTCTGTCATGGTCGAAAAAGCTCACTTTACAATAAATTAATGTCATTATACAGAAAGCAGGGACTAAACCGCATACTGGGCTGAGATTTTGATCCGCTGTCTGATCAGAAAGCCTGGTTTTGATGAAGTTTCCTCAATACATTGAAGACAAGCTCCCGTAATGTCTGAAAAGAAAACATCACAAGTATAAAACAGCAATATGTCAATGGTTTTACCATACTATGGGCTACAGAAAACACCACTGATTATTTCAGGTCTTTCAAGATGTGAATGATAAGGGATGACAAACAACCACTAGCATGACTAGGTGCCAATACCAATTTAACAAAACAAAATCAATAAAACACTTGAACAGAAAAAAAACACTACATTTGCATTTCAAGATAGCTGATTAAATGTGACAAAGAGTGTCGATATTGAAGGACCAATGGATGGTATCTTGTCTAATGCATGCTGGTATACAAGTATATTATCTACATGATGAACAGTGTGTGTGAATCAACTGAGTGTCCTTCACATGCTCTCCCTAAGTTACACACCCTTCACTTTTGTGCAAGCACAGGGTCCATGAAATTTAGATCCTGTCCCAGCTGACAAACACAACAAGGTAAATGTTTTTATTTAGGAAATAAAAACAAAAGTATAAAACATACACATTTTGAATATCAACCTGTTAAAATATCACTGTCGTATCCATACTCAAAGTAAAAAAATTACAATTACTAAGTGTAAAAGAAAAACAGTTGCAGACACTGTTGGAATTACCAACACTGATCAACAGAGGGCAGCATTTGTTCTCACCAAGCACAGCACTCCCTTTTTTGTACATTTCTTCAGTAAAGTTAAAATTTGGCAATTGTTTTTTGTGTAACTCCAATTCATTTCTTGGCTGTTAGAGTGGTTTGAGACAAATAGGCATTTAAACAGAACTGGAGCATTGTACTTCCCTCACCTTTTTTTTCCATGTGAAAAAGGAACATTCAATGGATCACCCTAGCAATCAATATTTTCATAGTCAATTACACAGGACATTACGTCTTTGGTATGTCATGTTACATACCTGTGGTTTGCAGTATTCTTCTAGCCAGCTGAACACACACGCTGAGAGCTCTGCAAAACTGGCTACTGAGATGGATTCATTAAAAGACTGGAACTGGGAATCCATGATGGCACGGAACTATGGGCAGAGACAACAGATAGGAAAGGCACAGTTCAATGGGGTGGCCTTTGGGTAGGAATGCAGAGCAGTGTTAGTCAAGTCCATCACAAGCCCTTACAAGTCAATCACAAGACATCACATCTCAAGTCACAAGCTATTCAAATGAACTACGACAACTGTGTTATTCAGGCCCTGTTACTTATGACTTGTAATTTGACATGTGATCTATTTGTGACTGGGCTTGTTGTGGTGGACATGTGGTGGACTTAGCTATAATGTCTGGAGCATTGAATTTGTGGTCTGTGGGTAATTCCGCAGGTTGTGAGTTCGAGTCCAGCCTGGGGCTATGGTGCATTGCCCTTGGGCAAGGCACTTTGTCACTAATTACTTCTCCCCACCCAGGAGTAAATGGGTACCTGTGAGGGCAGAGATCAGGCATGCAACTGGGAATTTAGAAAAAAACGAGAAAGTTCCAAACCACACAAGACTTTGTAAAGTGTTTTTGAATTTGTAATAGCATTCATGAGAAGTAAAAAACGAGGAAATCGGCGGATCCAAGGAAAAGTTGCATGCCTGAGAGATGGTTACTGTGACTGATTTTAGCTGCTTTGCGCTGAAATGGCTGCAAAGAGCTATATATTCTATATACCCCGAGGGACTGTGAGTGACCAGAAGAGGGTCCTATTGACCCTGTTCTGGTCACTCACAGTCCCAAGGGGGGCATAGACGTGCACTAGTGACCAAATGATGCCAGTCCATATGTGTTTTATAACTCACCTCTGTCCAAAATATAAAACAAGAAAAGAAACTTTTCAGGGTTTTATAACTGAACTGTTTTCATTCAACAATTAACTCATAAGCAATTCAACAATTAAAGAAACACTTTTTAAAGAAACACTTTTCCCCCTAGATTCAGTTTTTGAGTTGAACTTTCAGAGGGCGCTGTAACCAGTCAAAAATTTTGAGTATACTCAATATACTATACTGTACCGTGTTTCAATCAACCAGGATAAAGAAACAGCAAGAGGTGTGTTATAAAGTGTATTGTCTTCAAGCAAACTTGTATCCTCGATCCTGATTGGTCGATCCATGGCAACAACAGTGTGATGTTATACTGTATCGCACCCTGCATTTTGCGCTACCGGTATATCAAGATGCGAGCGACATTCCAGCTGCATGAGCTAAACCGCTAAAAGTTCGCGTAAAGAGTGCTAGCTCCAACTTTACTGTGCGTCAAGTTTGCTTGAAGATAAATTCGTTATCGCATTTGCGGAACACGGAAAATGTAGTACGTCCGCGTCCCACATGGCCGGTGGGACACAGACGCACTACATTGTACACTGTGTTCCACTCGTGCTCGCGGGATAACTTATTACAGTGTAATACAAGTGCTAATGGAGTAACCGAATACAATGCTGTTAGGGCTGCCTGGGTATACTTACCACATTAAACTTGACCTGGTCAGACACTTGGTTCTGGCCCTGACCTGGTGTGTTTTGGTGAGCTTTGACAATCTGTTCATAATTACTGTATGATTCAAAAGAAAAGGAAATATGTCATTAAAGAGGCATATACCTAACTGTCTCTATTCTGGGTGGGGTGGGGTGGGGTTGGGGATGGAAGGAGTTGGGTCACTGGGGAAATGTAATTATGTCATTAACCCTTACCCTACTAGACCCTCCAACGCATGCCAATATGTGCCTCAAGAAAATCTCCTATGTTTTTTGCATGGCCCTCCAATATCTGCCATGTCATTTCAAGGGTAACTGGACAGGCACTCCAATACATGCCACAGAGAACAATGAGAGTCCTCTGATAACAAAGTGAGTGCCCCCAGCTGGTCAGTATCAGGCACCCTCCAGGGCCTCCAACTCCTGCCAATTGGAGCCTTCACTGTTAAGACAAACTATCTGCCAATAAACTGCAGCTGGAGGGCATTGGCATAACCAACTGACATGCAGTAAACTACCCTCAGAGAGTAAGGGTTAATGCAAAAAAATATTGCGATTTTCAATCACATAGTTATGAAACTTTGTCACGCACGCAGGCATGCACAAATGTATGGACAAAATGCAAAGACTGCAAAAAGCATCAACATCACTGGAGATGGTCATCAATTAAAACTTTTTGGAAAAGATAAATGCCCACACTGCAAATACCTATTGTGAAACAAACCACATACTACATGGCTTATTTCAAGAGCAGTGGTGTCAAATCACTGTTCCGAAGCAGTTGGCTGATTTGACAATGAAGCGAGGGAGTAGTCAGTATTTCTCTACTATTACTCCTCAAGTTGTTTTTTAACACATTTAAGTCAAATGTGATGTGTTCCCTCCCAACACACTTCATCCTGGGAGGCTGGTCCAAAAAGCATTTGTAAATATTGCTCAAATAAACATTTCCCAAAATTTAATGATGATTTAATGTTTGAAAACAGACTTTCCTCGGCTCAGTTATGCCCTTTTGAAGTTTGTGATATCACCAAGGTGGAACGTTTGCTTGTAAAAGTTCTGGGTTATGCATTTCTTGAACTGATACACCTCTTCTCATCATTCCCCCAAAGAAATAATTTTAGAGGCAAAATTACAGTCTGTACTTTTGACAGTACAGTTGAGATATAATAAGGATCACAAATTTGCAAAAACCTGTAAATCAAAAAAAACAAAAAACATGTTTTTTGGGGAGCTGTTTCTGTATCTCAAGCTCCCCCCAAAAGCATCTGGTTGACAGAACAGGCCATAGAGTGGGGATTGCAAGTGTATAAAAATAAGCACCGGGGGAAAAAAAAGACTCATTGGAGGGGTCATAATTTTGAATCAGATCGTCTTATGATAACATCATTTATATATATGTCGTTAGCTACATTTTGATACCCCATTTGCTACCAAAGACTGTAAATCGTCCAAATTGACAACGGTTTGTGAAAAATGATGCCGTTTGAAAAGTTGCAAATTTAAAGAGTACGCAAGTGGAAAGTGCTGCGTGACAATGCCACAGTGCCCGAAACAAACGGGCTGGGAATACATATCGCACAGTGCTCGCATGCATGGGAGCATGCAAATTGATTTACTCGCGCTTTGTTCGGGCACTGTGCAGTTGAAAGGGGCCAATTACGGGCAATGTGAGGTTATGCTTAGCAATTTCTCCTCGCATAATCTTTAAATTTGCAACTTTTCAAACTGCATCATTTTTCATAAACCGTTGTCAATGTTGGCGATTTACAGTCTTTGGCAGCAAACCGGGTATCAAAATGTAGCCAACTTTATTCCTCAAAGGTCTATGACGTCATCATAAGACGATCAGATTCAAAATTATGACCCCTCCAATGAGTGTGGACTTTCTTTTTTTGCAGTGGTTAGATCAGTACCTGGTTGACACAGCAAGCCAATTATCAGTCAATGACGTACCTTTTCATGATTTTGAGGGCCATGACTTCTTTCCTCAGATTCTCCACCTCTTGTTCCTGTTTCTTCTTCTGCTGCACCAAGTATTGGATGTAGTCAATCGCTGTTGGAGAACATAAACATAGACCAATTCAATCTCTAAGTGGGACAACAAAAATTATACAGAAACCTTGCTTTTTCAAATATCTGACACTTTTCAATGAGTCCTTCGCTATTATTATATGAAATGTGTTTAGAAGAGGAAAGATATCAAAAGGGTTCTTAACTTTAGAAATTTACAGGAAATCTGTCTTTTTGAAAATACAAACCAAATTTGATTAAGGTTAAGGAGGGCTTCAAAGAATACAATGAGACCCGTAGTTGAGTCCTTTTTCTGAATCTCCAAGGGAATATTAAATATGTAGTAGGAATCAAGCTTATGGACCAAGGTTATGCTGACCCAGTACTTTGGGTCAGTAGAAATACAAATGGTTAGACACACATTCCGACACAAGTTTTGCGGGAAAATACCCAATTATTAGCCCAAACTTTGGACATTTTTAGCACAACCTATTGAATACTCAGATTCTTACCCATTATCAAAAGCCCAAGTACTCCAACAAATCTGTTATTATGGAATAAATTCTTTTGATCCCAAATTACATGCCAGTATTCTCAGTGAAGTCTGAAAAAGACTTGACTGCAGCTCAACAGACCAAGTCCACAAACGATAGGATGTTCATGCATGTATGCCAGCCTGAAAATGTTTGTATTCTTTGTGGCTTATCTAAGCTTAGTTTTAATGAAATGCCTTTGTTTTAAAATTCCTTCAATAGATTGGTGACTTCAGATACATGCAATGTCTGAAGAAATCTAGGCATCTACATTGTGATGGGACAGTGCAGTGCACTACACAGTGTACATGTACAATAATGTTGGAAATTTCTATCAAGGAAAGTGAACTTTACAAACAGTAATGAATGGAATCTCCTCGATCCTTTTCTCACATAAGTCCAATTCTTAGTCCAATTATTGCCACTAGAACGAGACTTACATCTCTGTAGTATGGTGGCTTTGCTGAGTTTCTGGGACCCTACGCTGTCAACCTGTTGACATGTTGGAACTATCATCTGCAGCTCCTCATAACCTTTCTGTTGTCAAAAAAAACCACCCAAAAACAGTTTTTGTTTTAAAAGATATACTGCACTTCAGATTGTGAATCTTAAAAAAGACATGATAATAAAATGCTACAGAGAAGTCCTGCAGACTCTTTAAGTGTAATATCAAGCTTTTGAATCTACTAATATGCAAACAGGTAAAAGTTGATAAAATCGGTTGGGAAGAGAGCTGCACAGTCCTTCTGTACTTCAATTTTGCATCCATCTGCTTTACACACTATTCCCTAGTATACTACGAAGCATAATTTGCCAATCAGACAATTTGACGAGCACAAGTCATTTTGATATAAAAGTGGAAGGGATAATCAAATCAGTGAGATGGCATATAGACCTAATGTTCATAATAACGTCACAATGGCTGCATCTTGTACGTCAAAGCAAAACGTAATATACATGTACGTATTTAGTACGCAGGCATGAGCTAAATGTTACTCAATATGTGACATCGCGAAATGAGGTCTGTAGATACCTTAATGGCATCCCTTCTCTTCTGTTCAGCTGCTGTGTGGGCGTTCCGCCGTCTGTCTTTGTAATTACGAAATGCATCAGATGTATCATCATCGTCATCTACGGGAACGACAATAAAACACTCATTACATTGTCAATGATACGCTGCAAACAGTGTGGACTTAATAAGACTATTTGAAGTTCTACTCAAGATGGCAGTTTTATCTTTGTTCTTTCTTTGTGTGCATGTGCTCAACTTAACAAACCCTCCACCTTTCCCCTCAATCTGCCATCTTACTAGAAAAGGAAGAATGTGCATTTACGACAATCTTCTATATACTGTCAAGCATATTTAGCCCTGCACGGTCTGTACCTGTTAGCTGCAGTCCTCCATCATTCAACCCAGGCAGAGAGGAGGCACTATTCTGTCGAGACGTTGGACCAGATAGAGGCAAATCATCATCCTGCATACCTGATACAGACAAATCAATCAATGTTACAAACATTCTAAAAATCACTGATAATAGGTCTACATGTAGGAAATCCAAGGAAATCGAGGAAAAAAATGTACTTGCATAATCAATTTTGATTTGCCATTGTCAAGGTCATATGACCTGTCAGGTGCACGTCAAATTCCTCACCTACAATATACTGGTAGCAATACAGTATCATGGTTGTCTTACGTATATGTAAATGAATTAAAATCCAAATGAAAGGCACATGAATTAGAAATAGGAGTGATGCCCCCTTTCACATTTATGTCTTACATCCTTTATATACAGGCATGCAACTGGGAATTTGGAAAAAACGAGGAAATTCCAAACCACATGAGACTTTGTACAGTGTTTTTCAATTTGTAATGGCATTCATGAGAAGTAAAAAACGAGGAAATCAGTGGATCCGAGGAAAAGTTGCATGCCTGTATATACTATACTGAAGTTAATTATCCATCCTTCATTGTTAACGAGCGACACCACACTAACACAACTGAATTTGGGAGACTTAACTCATCGTTATTCTCACATTAAACATTTCAGTGAAAGTCATACATCCCCCCCCCCCAAAAAAAAAATCTAAAAAAAACCAAAATATTTTTTGTAAAATTGCCCCTCTCCTGTTTAAAAAGGAATATTGTTAAATGTGTTTGTCAACTGTTTTCCCACAATACAAAAATGGCCCTTCCATGGTAAGCTCTTTGTGGCAAACTGTAGTGTGAATCATTTGCATTCAAATTACTGAAATATAATTATTATTGCAGGGAATTCCTTTTCATTTCATGAAACATGAAACATTCAGCCAAACGGAAATTTACATGAAGTTCAAACATTTTGACAGAGTAAATGTGCCTTATTGAGGCACGCTTTTCAGTAAGGTCCAATGTCCAACCATAATTGCACCCAAACATGTTCAGAAGCTACATTTCTCTCTTTGACAGAAGCAGCCAATTTAAAGTGCTTCATATGACAAATTGTCAAATGTCCGTTGATGGCAACAATCCTTTAGAAAATACAGGATGAGGCTACATGAACATGTATACAAGTACTCACTCTGGTCAAAGCTGGAGTCTGCAAAGCTGGAATCTGTGGCGGACATCTTGACAGATACTGGTTCACCCTGCATGAGGGGTTAAGAATTCAATGCAAACCATCAGCAAGACATGCATACATTGCTACTGAATTAAAAAATTTGTAAAATAATCAAAAACCTTCCAGAAAGCGCTTATTTTCAAGCCATGGATGGATCATCCTCGCCAGCCAGGGCAATATTACAAAGATCCTGTACGTCCCAAGACAGTACCCTGGCAACCTGAGTCCATTTATTATGGCTCATGTGATTAACTCATTCCAAACATGGATTGATACAATTTCTGTCCAATCAGATTGCTTGTAACAAAAGTTGGCTACCAACATGAACTCATGTACGATAAGGTACCCCCGTGCTACATACTGGTCTTTGGCTGCCACTAGGTAGACATTTCTTTCCGTAGATCCATACGTAATGGTCGCCATATTTTTGTGTAATGTAAAACTCTCTCCTATTGGCTAACAAGTCTACACAAACAATCTGATTGGCTGACGACGAACGTCACAATAGTAAATAATTGGAATCGGTTTGCCATGGTTTGCCAGAGTAGCCTTAATGGATAGAATTGCAAACATTACATCATGCTCAAATGACCTCTATTACGCACACAATGCCATATTAACATTTGTCAAGCTAGCCCCCCCCCCACCTCCAAACCCAAACCAATTCCCCACCACCACGAACAAAAAAAACATTTCCAGTCACAACTCCAGTTGACACCAGCAGGTATCAAAAGTATTTCAAACAAAATGGAAAGTTTGTTGACTGTCAAGTTGTTTCCATTTCAAGATTGACTTAAACAATTTGGTGAATGGAAGACAAGTTTATCAAACTGATTTAATACTCTGAATGGTTGCTTTGTGTGTTGCAAGTCCATTCACTTAATGGTAAAGGTACCTTAAGACCACTTCACATTAGTCCGTGTTACATTGTAAGTGCAAGTGCCCTACTAGGCCTACATGTACCGATACATCAAGGCAATTGTGTAGTCACAGGCCCCATGTTTCTTTCAGTCCTTAATGAGTGTTTTTATTATTAGAAAATGACTCCTGCAACCATACAGTAGGTATGTTCTTTAATCTTAATGACCCTATTTTTCGTAATAGAAAATGAGAAATTCTTAAGGCAGGTAGATGCCATGTGTATCAGCTCGGCTTTGTGCATTCACGGTGCGTCGCAGTGATCGCCATCAGTACATTTTGTGTTGCATTTTTGTTGTCTTCATCGTGACCCCAAAATTCCCCTCAAAAATCATATCAAGGCCCTCTATCCACAACAGTATTTGTTTCCTGTAATAGGAACACAGCTATAATCCCAAATACATACATGTACATTGTATTTTGTACTGTAGGCTGTATGGTTGGGGCTTAGTTGCCCAAGCCCAATAAATGTGGCTCAAATACTGGATTTCCTCCATTTTGTGAGCCACAGGGTAGGGACAGCTGCGTGTGTCTAAAGAAATCAAAATCAGTACTGTTTTTTTCACTTGGTTGACATTTACCCAGTTAATAACCAGGGGAAAAAAAAAAGTCTGTATCTCTAGATGTCTAGTTATAATCCTGTAATTTTCAGGGGGTTTGTCCACAAATTCACGCTGTATTTTTCTCAATGTCAGGGGTCAATGGTCATCACCTTTAAAAATTAAAAAAAACAAGAATAGGCCTATAAAGCGAAAAAAAATCCTGATTTTGATTTCCTGCTTTTTCTTATTTTTGGATGCATTTTAAAAGGTTTCATTGCACACTTCAAAATAAAATCGGAAAATCACACCAAAAGTAAAATTTCTCTTTTAACCTTGTACTGGGTAGGCCTAGGTGAATTCAAGGTTTATGGACAGGAATGTTTAGTTAAGAGCTTGATGAAATGTCACTGACTCTGAAATATTTGCTCTAGCAATTAAGGCACTAGAGGCAACAAAATCAAAGTGCACCACGTTAGGCATCAGAATAGGACCTTGAGTGCTGAAAAACATGCAAACTAATTCAGGCCAACTTTTGGGCTGACAACATTCTCAAAAATGTTCATAAGGCAAAGACAAGGTCCTCAGTATTCCACCAGCCAAGTTTGAAGTCTCAATTCAATTTTGAAAAGAGACCTTTCTGCACTATTTTGCACCTGAGAGGGAAGTCAAGTGATATCAATTTGAGACCAAAGACTGGACTGGTGCATGTCCAAACATGCTCCAACTTCTTATACTGCATGTTTTCAATACCTTAAGTTTTGGGACTCCCATACACAGTATTGAGAGTCCCCAATTTCTGGACTAGTACTACATGTAGTTAGGCATTAGAGCAACACTAATGGGGCTATTAAGCCCCAGTCTACTATACATTAGGCCCAAGTAATTTACTTGGACCCAAGTTTAATCGCCTTTTCTTAACATTTGGACTTGATCTTGCGAGTGGGCCTCATGTCCAATTTCCAAATGTTAAAAAAAGGCGATAAGTTGGAAGTTGTTTATCTCCGCGTGAGAGTTGCGGATCACCCATGCACACAATGCAGTTCTGTGTGCAGTTAAGATGATGAAGGCGTGACACATGACGCACGCGCTGAGCGCGTCATGAATGGTGAATTTGTACAATGACATGTATCACATAGCACAGCATGCGTGATCCAGAAGTGTCGAAAGTGATCCGTAACTTTGTGTCGGCCAGTTTCAGTCCTGTACAAAAGCCATGATTTATTTCCCTTTAATTAATTAAGTTGAGTCCGTGTCCAATGTTTGGTTTTAACTTGAAGAGGAGGAATTTTACTTTGAAATTATGTCACTGGTACCATGGAGTCGGACCATGGAACTGGAAGTCCAACATGTGCGCATGTAATGCATGTACAGCAGCAATTATATAACTAGAGGTTGTAGGAACAACTACACGGTGTTGGGCCATGGATTACCGCAGATTTTGCCACACACATCAATTCAAAATATGCATGTTTAAATCCATGTTTGAATTTTTCAACATGCCGCCAGAGGGCGCTCTAACATTTGATGACGTCACCTGTAAAATGTTTGTACAGTACTGCCTAGGCAGACACTCACATCGTTGAAAGCAAGTTCGCATCTTCTGCCAATTTCAAATAATAAGGCACTTCCGGTTTCGACCGGAAGGAAGGGTCAAGTGATTTTGCACTTAATACCAAAAATGAAGACCCTGCAATATTGTATCGATTGCCATAAAAAACAAAATCAAAGCTGTAGCAGTTGATTTTACATTGATTTTCAAAGATTAGGCCTAAATCTAGAAATCTTTGATTGCTTGTAATACGATACTTGATGACGTCATTACCTGAAAGTTCAAGAGCTATTTTAACTGTGCTATATTTAGCCAAATCTTGATTATATCTATCACGGTTGATTTTTTAGCAATTTTTGAAGGTTTAAAGGTCTTTTTATTGTAACTTCCGGTCTGATGACGTAATCAATTTTTTTTCGCGCACAGGTGTTGTCTGCATTAAGGTCATCACGTACATTAATTTTGAAGCGATTACCGCAAACTTCGCCACAGACATCAAGTGAAAATGCGTTTTTGACGTTTTTTAACCTGCCGCTAGAGGGCGCTCCAACACTTCATGGCGTCACCCATTACTTGTTTTGAAAGGTCAATCCAGGCAGACACTTAAATCGTTAAAAGCAAGTTCATATCTTTTTCCACTTTTAAATTATTAGGCACTTCCGGTTTCGACCGGAAGGAAGGGTCACGTGATTTTACGCGCACAACATAAAATGAAGATCATGTATTACCATGTCGATTCCCGCAAATTTCAGGTTCCGGTCTCTCACGGTTGATTTTATATGGAATTTCAAAGATTAAATTTATTAAACTTTCGAGTGACGTCACGTGACCCATGATGGCATCATGATTACGTAATTGCAAAAAACCACATCTGCGGTGGATTGGGCATTCATGTATTGACAAATGAAGTTCATATATGTTTCCATTTTTCCAAACAGTTCTGGAGAAGGATTTGCTGAGAATATGCCGAGAAGAACAAAAACAGTAAATTCTTACAAAACCAATAGGTGTTGGGCTGGGGGTCAGACAAGTCGACCGTTGAGACAACTCGACTCGGGACAAGTCGACCGTTGAGACAACTCGACCGTTGAGACAACTCGACCGTATGTGCGATAAATGGAAAGACAAGTCGATCGTTGAGACAAGTCGCCTCGCATGTTTTAGGCCTAGTTTCGGGGATAGTACCGGGGATTTTGACGGCGGCTGATCGCCGTTTGGGAGTGATGACACATGAGTTTTTATTTTTGCATATAACAGAGCCGATATAGCGCAGCGTGATTGTCTGTGCACATCGTTCGTTTTTTTCAAGGCCACGTGCGCGCATCCCCGGTCAACGTGGCCGTACCGTGCACGGTGTCATCATTTTTGCTGGGCCTGTGCGCCCATTTGCCGGTCAACTTGTCCGTACCGTGCACGGTGACATCGTTTTTGCCAGCCCTGTGCGCCCATTTGCTGCGCCAGTCGACGTGCCCGCGTGCCGGGCCCGGCCCGGTCCTCGCGGGCGGGCGGGGCGCACCGGCCCGACGCGACGCCCTCTGTACATCGAGTATGCCCGCGCCGCACCCATGATCGGTCTTGCCACAGATTTGTGCAACTTTTTCTGCTCCACGTGTATTCATTTCCATTAAGTCGAGCAGTCTCAACGGTCGAGTTGTCTTAACGGTCGACCTGTCTCAACGGTCGAGTTGTCTCAACGGTCGACTTGTCCCGAGTCGAGTTGTCTCAACGGTCGACTTGTCTGACATTCGTTGGGCTCAAGGCCCAACACCTAAAAAGTGATCTGGAACTGTCACACTGAGTATTACTGTTGGGCGCGATCGGTGGATCTGTGCGATTGGTCGATTGTGTTGTGCGATGGGTTGATTCTGTAGGTTATCTCGGACTTATACCTTTTAAAAAAAAAAATATTCAGAGCCGAGAATTAGAAAGGAATGGTGTTTGACTGGTGGCAGCGGGATTGACCAATAATAACGTCATGATCGACTGTAGCTTGAGTAACTCCAGCTGACATGCTCATCAGGAATTCACATGTAACAGGCATGACAGGTCAAGCTACATTGTAGATCGCTTTAGCAGTGCAATCGACCGATCGTGCGCATCGACCAATCGCGCCCAACATTTCTAGTCTACGTATGAAATGCCTATTAATCTGTGTCCTTTCTCTATGATCTATAAAATTACAACTATCAGTAACATGACTAAACATTGCATGCTAAATCCGCTCAGCCGAATGGGACTAGGCCGCCTAGGGCTTTTGTGGCGGAATGGCGGTAAAACAATGTGGCAAGTTTGCTGAATTATGAAACTATTTTCTGTACATGACTTTATCGAAACTACGAAGTACGATACATTTTGAAATCAAAACGTCCTTTGTATATTGTCCCGACATGATTTTTAAACAAAACAGCAATATTATTCGATAAATGTTACCTATATCCTCAGATCATGTGTATCGCTTCGATCGGTTCCCCATTTTATATCGCAAACTGCATGCTCTCACAACAAAATGAACAAGCGCACGTACCAAAGATCCATGCATACACGTACACATATATGTACCAAAGCAGATGTTCGTACTTTGTAGGGGAAGATCGGACACTTCGCTGAAAAAATGTGAAACAGGAAGGCTCATGGGGAAGGGCGCCACCACGTTCCTGTTAGGTAAGATTTGCTCCAGCGTTGTGCGAAGCACTATTATTGTTTCATATCAGGCAGATTATGTAACATTTTAAAAAGCAGTTTATTCTGTGATTATTAATAGCCCCACTCAAGGCTTCAGGGGGAAATGCCTTAGTGCTTTATTTGAAAGTGACAGTGTAGGGCCTATGTGTACTGTATTATGCTGTGAATGAGCCGACTGTAACTGCATGAACAGGATTTGAGATGGGAGCGGTAATGAACAATTCCCCCAAATATTTTCCACTTTTTCATCATGTTGAACTTGCTTATGGTTTATTCATATACAGGTTTGGGGGGGGGGGGGGGAGGGGGGTAAACAGTACAACAGTATTTTAACTACATGTAATTAATTATAAATTGTTTTAATTAATTTTTTTTTTTTATTAATGACTATTATTTTTCTTTCTTAAGACTGTGTATTTTTTTAATAATTGTACAGCGCAAGCTTTGTGATGTCCTTGTGAACATGGAACGCGTTTTCAAGTAATTAATATCATTATTATTATTATACATCAGTTGAATGGGATCATCTATATCTATTCATATTATGGGCAGTGGGTTCTACTTGAGCACTGATTGCATTCATAATGATAAAAAATAAAATGTGGATTTTTTTTTAATGAAATGTTCTTGGTATGTCTTATTGTTATTGACCGTCTGAAGTGGCAGTAATGAGTATTACTAGATATATAGTACTGAAAACAATCGACAGAAATTAACAGTGTAACACATTGACTGAGTTCAGCAAAGTATGATTTCATTTTTTTTTTTTCAGATGCTTCGTTTACCTAAGTTCATTTGATAGTAACATTTTAATTTAGTCCATCCAACATATAACATTATCATTCTAAAAAAAAAAAAAATGAAGCGGGGCTTTGACTAGTTTGGAGATCTGAAACCTGCCTACTCGGAAGTTAAAACCATGTGGCCTCTTCGCCGCTTGAGTTCTGGTTGCATTGCTCAGTCACCTCCCCTCAAAAAGCTACACCATTGTATTATCTGATTTGATAAACATCGATAACATCGCTATATCTCAACCTGTTACTATATTATCACTCGTTCATTTATTTCTTTATTCGTCACTTCATTTTCTTTCAATCCCGCTTACATTAATTTTTTATACCCGATGTATAATTCGTGTTAAATACACGCGTTTACCTATTCAACGCTAGGAGCGCCCTCCCCGTAGACCAATTTAATGCATGACGTTTGGCGTTTCATTGGGCCCTGTACAAAAAAATACCCTAGTTGTCATGATGTCCTGAGCTAGCTGAGCGCGCGGCGCGGACTCGCATCATTCGAGGAGGGGGAAGGAGAAAAATGAATTATAAAGTTGAATACGCTGAGACGCTGTTTGAGCTGATTTGATATAATGAATAACTGATTAACAGTTAAAGTAGTGAAAATTGTTCCAATAAATGTAGTTGCAGGTACTAAAATATGTCCTAATAGTTCTAAGAGTTAGACAGTTGTAACCCTACATTAAAAATGGTAGCGTCGAGCTCCGGGTCATTTTGCGAAATGTGTGTGTACAAAATACGATTGTCACAGTACATGTACGTATGTACAGTTAAGTTGTAGGCCCTCTACGCGCGCGCGGGGTTTGTGGCAAGTGGCTAGTCAGTCGACGACTTGCCAGCTGTGCTCTATACTTCTAGCTGTGAAGTATTTTAATTTTATCGAACCAGATGAAGGATCCAGGGCTCTTCAAAGTTCACGACATTGTATTTATGTAACGTACTACTTATCGGTGATCATGCTTAGTTATTGACATGATTGATTTACAACAGGACCATGACTGAAAGTTTACCGGCGGTGGCGGAATGTAAATTGTAAGTTCTGTTCGTGTTGTGTAGGCCCTAGGCCCTATGCCTTTTTAAAGAGGTTGTGGAATGCTCGAAGACATGTATTTTTTCGGGTATATGTATAATGTAGCCTAAGGTGTGATGAAATAAAAACGACTATTGTGTCTGTCATGAAATGAGTACAAAAGGTACTTTTGAGAGCTGTTTTTCAGGTCCTGTTTCGACCCGAACGTGCAATTTGTGTAAACGCAGTGGCTATCGTTACGGCAGCCGTAACCCATTTCCCATTTTCTATCGTTACGGTAGACTGCAACTTTTATAAAACATGAGAAGAAAATATAAAATTAGAAGGAAAAAAGTGAATTTGAACGTTATGAAATTCGGACTTTATTTCCCTTTTAAAAAAAATCCTCCAACATGTCCAAAGCCTCAGGTTAGAAAAGGAAAAAAATTCAAGTGCAAAACTGAGATGCGAACCCGCAACCTCGCGGTGCAAAATCCTACCCTCTATCGTCTGAGCGTCGCACTGCTCGCTAAAACGTGGGGAAACAAATAATTATATACCTGCGTGCGTATCAAAAAAGTATCGTAGAGGGCGCTAAACAATGGCTGCCGTAACGATAGCCACTTCGTTGTGTAAAAGTCGTCATTGGGGGCAGCAAACAAAACATAGTAAATCTGACGTAATAAACAGGACTCGTTTATATTACGCTGCATCGGGAGTCCTGTTTATTACGAAATCTAGACTGTTCCCCCCCCCCCCCCCTTGATATTGGCCATGAAAGGTACAATTAGCAGAGTTTGTCCTAAAAAATGACTGCTGCATTTTAGGCTAAGCCAGGTCGTGCAACTTTTGACCTTTTGATGTTTCCTGGTTACTACTGGTCATGATGGTAAGTAGCTTCCAAAAAAGTTCCATAGTGAATGTTGGGTGAACAAAAAAAGAATTGAGATTTCAAATTCAGGGAAACTAAACTTTTCAGGAAATTTTGCATGCATTGGTGTGGGGCTCACAGAAAATCCAGTATGGGGTTAATCGTTGACATTGTGATTGTGTGGGTGGGATGAATTTTCCAACCACACTCACCATGCTCATCTAGCCCATGGAGGAACTTGTGTGGATTGCTGCGCTGTACGTTAGGCCACACGCCTGGTTTCCCAACCTACTGAGGAGTTTATTCCAAACACTGGCGCACCCTTTTTTGGCATTTTTTTTTATATACCACTGATATGGTTGTATTCTATGATTTCTCATCTTTTGCCCCCCGGGTAGGTTAGGTGATATTTCTTCATTTTTTTTCGAGAAATTCAGACATCTTTCTGGAGTCCATATGCGCCAGTTTGGGAGTAAACTCCTCAGTAGGTTGGGAAACCAGGTGTGTGGCCTAACGTACAGCGCAGCAATACGGAGGCCACGCAAGTGGGGCTACATGCTCACCATGCTCACAGTTAAAATTTCTGGCAAATACGAGCTGTGTTTTTTCCTCACTTTTTTACTTCTTATAAATGCATGCCATTGAATAATTTAAAAGTAGCATGCAGCGGGGGCTTCGACCTTGGAATATTTGCAAATTGCGTGGAAACAAAGAAGAGGTACTTTCTTCACCTTCTACCGCTGTGATCCGGGTTCGATTCCTGGCTGGGCCAATATGTGGATTGCGTTTTCAGTCCCTACCTGATTCCGTGTTTTTTCTTCAGAATATTCCTAAGTGGGGTTTTCTTCCCACATCTAAAACTGTACTGTCTTCACATGTACAAGTAAAAAGTATGCGAGGGGCAAAAGCCCATACATCGCACCAACGCAAAGTCCATCCTACAAAAATGACAATGTAGGCCACCCACTAAATTGAGTTTTTTGTTGTGTTTTTTTACCTCACCTACAGGGAAAATTTATTTGACTCTACATTGTGTATGATCAGTCAAAGAGCTTCAGGATAATAAGAGCTTTGGGCTTCAGGATAATATGACGTGCTAGATAACCTGCAGTTTCTGGAGTTTATGATCTCAGTTTCGCCATGCCAAAGGCACCTTTGAACAAGCACGTCAAATTTGAAAGCATTGATAATTGTGTTGCTGACAGCCCAGAGAGCAATGTACAAGATGGACAACAGGGTGGTGCTGGCCAGTGTCATGGGACATCATCCACCAGAGGAGGATGCTCATCTCGTCTTCCGAATGAAGAGATAGAGATTCATATTGAAGATGAAAATGGCGTGAGACAACCCTACCACCAGCATGACCAAATAACGGAACATTGCAGTGGATGCCACATGCTGGGCCAGCCTCATAAACACCAGAGAGTGACCACTGCTGATCAGCCAGACGATGACGACGATGATGATGATGGATGTAGATACAGTCCCCAGCAAGGTCCCCATATCATCCTACTCACAATCATCTGCATTCCATTCGTCTTTCTAACAGCATTAGTTGTCACGTGTTATCTAGGTGTGCTTACCTGGTATAACATTTTCCTTTACTATTACGACGAGAGGGGATGGATTCACCGCATCGTTGTCTGTCCTCTTCTAATCCTGTCATTTCCTCCGATCATCCTGACGACAGCTCTCGGTATCTCACTGTATTCCTCCGTCCAGCAACTCTCATGGTATCTTACCTCATGGAGGACTTCAGTGACTGACTTAGAGAAGGGTTTCTATGCATGGTTGTGTCTCCATCTTGGCCTTCAGGATTGCTCCCCATATGAAGTCATCACCTTGGAGGATGATGATGAAGATGGTTTAGGCAGAACCATATCGCATGCAGTCAGCCCAGTGTAATTCCACAACATTTCTCAAAAGTTTCAAATAACATGGTTATCTTGTGTTTTTATTGGTCTAGAACGGCCATGTGTCCAGTCTATACAAATGACTGTTTACTTCATATACACTGCGTTGCATATGAATAGCCTCATATACATCGCGTTGCATAAAATGATCTCATATCACAGCATTGCATATATTGCGCGCACATGCAGGGTGCATGTGCAGGGCCCATGCACTTTGCAGCAGAGAACTGCAACCTTTCAATCTCAATTCCAGCAGGAAAGCTCGCAGTACATGTAATCAAAAAGTTACACTGCAGTGATTTCATTTATTTATGCATTGAAAACCTTTATCTTTTTACTTATTGGCACGATATAACAAAACAGTTGTTGACTGCTGTGATGTGGATTGAGGAATATATGTGATTTTTAACCCCCTCTGGGGGACATAGCACCCTCGGCCTCGCCTCCAGTGCTATGTATGTGCCCCTCGGGTGTTACAAATGCCATACATGGGTAACACATCACAGCAGTCAACTAAATATTGTTAATAGTTTGTGGACCATACAGCGTACCTGTAGTGTACAAAAAGCAACAATGTGTCTGAATTGATGCATGAAGGTTTGTGAAGTGTACATGATAAAAAAGAACTCTTTCTTTGCCTCCTACGGTATGTGTTTTTAACACTCTGTGCAAATCTACAGTGCTTATGCCATTGCCCTTTTTTTTTAAAAATGAGGCAGACGTGAGTTTTTCAATCACACACTCAATTTATACAAACATACATGTACAATGTACGTAACTGGACTTTTTTTCTAGAGCTCTAATGACTGACTTACCATTGTTGGTAATGACAAAACATTTTAAGATTGAATTTAAAAAAAAAAAATGCTTTCTATTCTATCTGCAGCAACAGCAGTCATTTAGTTTTGGTTGCTATGGTCACTAAGGGGATAAATAATGCAACAAAGTGGCTTGATGGTCTACATGATATTACTCATCTTAAGCTGAACTCATCGTGAACACTCTGAATGAGAATAAGGATGTGACTTTGGGTTTCATTTTGTAAATGTTTAGCAAATATTCTAAGAACTGTTTAAACAGTTAAATGTTTCTAGCCACATGCCTGCCCATTACATGTACATGTATGTCTGCATGTCTGTATGTCTGACATTATAAATATAGGGCAGTCATTGTAAAAGTACAAACGTAACTATGCGTGCACCCCAATTGTAATCAAGTACTGCGGTCTTCTAAGGTTTTGTAAATTAAGTAGGTTCGAAAACATCGTTAATTATTGGTGCTGTGTATGTTTAACTCAAAGGAAGATCGCGTGAACGTAGGTCCCTTTTTGGAACGGATGTAGAATTGTTTTTCGTTTAAATGTGTAAACATCACATCCTTAAATGAGAGTGACATGTAGTAAAGTCTTCGCTATGCAATTGAAAGATGATCCTAAATGTATAGGTACCCCTTCATTAAAAAAAAAAAATGCTTTTTTATCACAAGGTTAGGGTTTTCGTATATTTTGTCCAAATCCAGAAATATTAAAACCTTACCACGGTAATGTGTTTGCATAGCAAATCTGTGACGTTGACAGCAAATACTCTCACTTTAATTTGCAACAATTTGACACGTTGCAGCTTAGGCAGATGTGTTATTCTGTGTATATTCCAGGAAGTCAAATTTGATTTGCATCTGTACTAAGTACAAGGACAGGCTTTTGTTTACACTCGGCAAATGAGGGTTCCCATTGATAGTGAACTACAACGTGGTTGATACGGGCATAGCTGTTTCATAGTGAGTTCGTTCTCATTCCTCCATGGTCCACCAAATCATTTGTGATGATACATGACTGTGCACCTTGTAAAATTATTGAAAATAATGTTTAATGGTTGAAACATTATTAAGGCAGTAAGGCTCCGTGCACTTTGTAAGTTTTGTTTTATAAAGCACACCCCGCACATCTCGTTGGCTTTGTAGTTTTGTAAGCTTAATTAATAAACAGGTGAAGTACCACTAGAAGAAATCCAATTTCACAAACGTAATTATGACAACTCATATTAACAACTCAATAATCAAGCGGCATAGGTGGGTTTATTCAGAACATGATATGATGATGTGATGATAGAATATACGTTATAACTTTTAAGCAAACAGGGAACCAATGAATTTCTTCTTTGAAATAGCATTACGTGTAGTTTTTGTGAGCAAATTTGTACAATGTGTTCAAAAGCAAACAAAACAAGAGAAAGAATATTAAACATGTTAAATGTATGCAAATTTTGATCAAATACAAAATCTGAAGCAACTGCAGGTTTTCACATGCAAATTCTATCGCCAAATTGCTTCACAAAAAAACTTTATATTTTGTTTGCACCACATGTGCATAACAGACTATAGAGGGGAAACAGTTTATGATCTAATGTTGACAGAGAATTTGGGATGGGAAACAGTGGCTCAAAATGGACTGGCGGGCCAGTCAGTAGATAAGGGTAGTATATTTACTGAAAATTAATTAAAAAACAAGTCTAGCTGTTGTTACAACTACAGGAACAACACATGACTTGTATTTGTTTAAAGGGCCCATGCAATGTAATTTTTTAATGCAATCCTTGAAAATGCACCTTTGTGTCCCATGTAACCTTATTTTCAATTTTCGTTTTGCCATTTTCAAGGGCATTTTGTTGCCTTTTTTGTTTTCATGCTAATGCAAATTTCCATATTCATGAGCAAGCTGTGATGTCATTCCAGGCAGAAACCTCAACTATTTTAGCACACATACATGTAGTTGCTAGAATTTTGCATATTTTGTTGTCGTAAATTTTCTTGTCTTTGGTGATTCGTTGTTGTGTCAGTACATGGCAGTAAACCAATGAGCAAACTTTTCTCACAAATGTTTTTAATGCAATTTTTTAGTTCACAATTTGAACAGAAAACCCCTAAACTGAACAAAGTCTTCCTGAAGTGACATCACAGCAACAGTGCCCTCAGTCGTCCGGAAGGAGGCATGTCAATTTAACATGATTAAAAAAAACCCACTTTTCAACAAAACTAACCAAAAAGGGATGTCAAATAGTTTTCATACATTCAATAACATTAACCAAAAATAGATGTCAAATAGTTTTCTACATTTAAGAGAGGTAGAAACTAGTGCAAAATGTGTTCCTAAGAAAAAATTATTGCATGGACCCTTTTAGAAAGAGTGAACGTTTGTTACCCTTCAGAAAATTGGCCATGGGTATACATTGTGCACATATACATGTACAGTAGTTGAGCCAGCTCTGAAAGTGATATAAATTATTTGAATGCACTCATCCGTAGTAGCTTTGTTGAAATAATTGTACATGTGGGACCTAGTATGGTGGAAAATCTGCATTTACTTGAGGCCACTCAATATCGATAGCATTATCCATTGTCGGACTACCGTATGTAAATTACTTTCTGGAATTATACTATACAATGTAACGCATCCCTCTATTTGTACAGTGTATAATCAGCTCTTAATATTGTCTCATTTTGCTATGCACATGTACAGTGTATGTAACTTAATGATGTATTATTTGTGGCAAGATGGTATAGAAGTGAATGTACAGTTGTGAATTTCACGTGTTTAATTCCCCTAAACATGTCTTGCAAACTTTAACAGTGAATTTGTTTCGAGTGCAAAGAAAAATGGATACATTTTTTTCATTAATTTTCTGCAGTTTTGTATTCAAAATAAATCAGGGTATTTTTTTCCATAAAAATATTAACAGGTTCGGGTGTTACATTGTACGTGTAAACTCTTTATTTATCATTGATGTTTGAGTGATTTTCATAAGATGGTTGTGGACATTATCATTGACACTGCAGGCCTCATGTGCAGTGCTTCATGTTGTGACAAAACAACTCCCTAATACCCAACAATGGCCTAACACTGAGATCCTGCAGGCCATGATGCTGATTGGAAATTCCTCTATAGAGCACAGAAATGGGAATTTTGGATTCTCGTTGTTACCGGTCATTCTTGAGTCTTGACATTGCACAATGCATATAACATGCAGAATGTGGTTCATAGGTTCAATTCCTTTGATGGGTAAGTGTTTTGGAACTAGCTGTCATGATTGCAAGTCGTCATGTACAAGTTGCATTGAATCATTGACAATTCAGTTCTGCACCTGTACTTGGCATGGCTGAGTTATATTCATACATGTATAAATGTATATTGTGATAGTGTAAATGTAGTATAAAAATGTATCTTCAGATTATCAATCCATATCTGTTCAAACTGAATGTAATTCTGAAATATAGCCCATTATATGTAAACACATAAATGTACATGTGCATGTTTATGCATTACAGTGCAGTTTGTTTACAAGTGATGCAAGGTGACTGGTGATGCCTACATGTAGCTTACACACTTGGTGGCTACACTGGGCAATAACTGCTGATCAAGCTCCTGTTTGTGTTTTGTTATTCACCTTCCTGTAACATCTTAAGTAAGGTAAAGGGTCTCCAATCTTGTGACAAAGTCTGAATAATGTTTGTGTTTATTTTTGGCTTACGTAATCAGAATTTAATTGATTTGGCCGGTTTACCAATTATATAAACGAACTGAATTTGTTAAATTTTTGCAGATATCACTAGTATTTCCATACCTGATGACATCATCATAAAATCACAGTAATATTCACAACTCGGGATCAGGATTGATGTTTGTCACTTTTTTTCCAAGTTGTAAGACATTTGTCACATGTAAGCTTGTTCTGTAGTTAAGGGACCACAAGTCAGTTGAATGAAAGTTGTGCCAAAAAGTGCAGGAATTGTGGAGAATCCACAAATGTGGTCCAAATTTTTCTTACTGCGGCCCTGGTAGGGCAAACATACAGTGTACATATGCACCCAAGTGTGTATGTGCCTGCAATCAGGACCCCCTATTGTCCCTCTTTTGTTTGTAATTTAACTTTTTAGGAAGACCTCCCATGTTTTGTACACATCGCCAAATTGGGGACCTTTCGAGAATCGGGGACCCTATTGTCCTCTGTTGTTCAATTATTGAATGCAGAAACAAACTCATGTACACCCACAAATATACACAGAAGAGCTTCAGTGAAGTAGCTATACTCGACTCACTGAGCTGCAGAAACATCACTGCTAGACGCCATTTAAATGGTCATTATTATTATGCATATCAGTAGACTGTAACACTGGGACTAGTCAATGTCTTTATTGGAATTGCTCCACAGCTGTTTCTCCAATGCCTTTTTTTACCATTTTGTTGCTTTTTGGAGGTTAAAGGTAGGGTAGACCATTTGTCATTTGTGCATTGCTTTTGTTTAAAGCAACAAAAGTGTTCAAAATCAAAACACGGATGCTTAACAACTAACCTGATGAAGTTTTAGCTCTGTGAATGCTGTTTATTCTGAGAAAACAAAATTCTAGGATGTCGATTTCTATTCAAAAGTTGCAGAGTCATGTTTTGAATTGCGCCCGAAATCAACATCTGGGACACGTTCTTGTTCAGCTGATTGCAGCTAGGCGTTGCCACGCACAGAGCCGACGAATAGTAGCTGCTGCGCGCACGTGTGCGTTGTATCAATGCTTGCGCGCACCTAATTACAAAGCAACTGCTAACGAAAATTTCCAAAAATGCGCCACTTGACGTATCTGTGGAAATATTGCCTTCCTTTTTGGGGTTTTCTTCAAAATGACAGCATGCCAGAAAGAATAATTCCCAGGGAGTTTATTGCCATCACTATCTTTACACCAAGTAAGCTTTTCAAGAATAGTGTCATCAGTTACATTTTGGATAGCTGCCAATGACCTGCTCTGCTATATTTTACCTTGACTGTGCATTCCCTTCATGTGTATTTGTTCCATTGTGCGAGTTACAATGGATTGTGCTGGAGTCTGATGCTCTGTAACTTAAGGCAGGGTCAGAGCCTGGTGTGGCATGTGTACAGTTTACTTT